CACCATCAATAATAATAATAATAATAATAATAATAATAATAATAATAATAATAATAATAATAATAATAATAGTCCACCAAGGTCAGTTATCAGCTTCTCAGACTGACAGCAGCTCTCCAGGGTCACAGGCCAAAGGATTTTCACATCATCTCCCACCTGACCATCTATGTTCCCTCTAAGCTGAGTTAGTGTGAGCTAGCTCACAGTTTTTTAGCCTCTGGCTCACACATTTTTGTCTTAGCTCAGGAAGGGTGGCTCCAGAGCAAACTAATTTATGCAGTAGCCAAACCGCTTGCTCACAACTTTAATGACAGTACCTCACAAAGTAGAATTTTCGCTCACAAGACTCCACAGCTTAGAGGGAACATAGCTGACCATTTAAGTGGAGATGCCAGGGCTTGAACCTTGGACCTTCTGCATGCAACACAGATGCTCTACCACTGGGGTTCAGCCTCTCCTCACTTGGAACCCAAGTCCTTCTGAATGTAACAACTGGGCTCTACCACTGAAGGACACCAAATTCCATGCTTAAGACCAAGACTCAACCCCATCCTTGTGAATGCTACAGAAGGCAGAGTTTTAAAATCAGTAATTACCACTTGTCCATAAAGCTCCTTAAGCTTGTCTGTCTGCTGGCTGGCCCCTTGAATGGTCTTCAGGGCATTTTCAATCCTGTTCAACCTGTATTCACAATAAGCCTTCTCAAAGGCTATCAAATCACTGCAAAATAAAAGCCAGAATTTGGAGGTCATTCCTAGGTATTTGTTCCCCATAAAGACATTTATACTTGCAAGACTCGTGTTGCCGTTTACTTGTACCAGAGCACCAGTATTATACTGAACAAGATTACAAATGGACAGATGGATGGACAGAAGGAAGGAAGATGGTTTAAATCAGGAAGACAGGTGGAGACGGTTCAAGGTTGTAATCTGCAAAAACAGTTAGTAAGATAACCTTCGGCAGACCCATATTAACAAAACCTCTCCTTGTCTCATACAGCAAAAAGACTTTCAGCTAGGGATGCAAACTATGAAATGCTTTAAGGATTAAGTGACAAGGTTTCATTTACACACTCTCAGCCTAACCTACCTCACAGGATTGTTGGCAGAGAAAACAGAGGAGAAAAAAACAATGTAAACTGCTTCAGGTCCCCAGAGGAGAGAAAGACTGGGTTTAAATGAACACTACATGTTTAAACAATTAAATGACAGTCAACTGGACACTCTCACTGTCTTTGTGCTGCCTTTGGTTCATATACTTCCCCAAAGGCCGGTGACTTGCTATAATTGCCTAGTTGCCGCAGTCTGGTGAGAGGCAATCATTTTGAGAAATAAGAAGCCACTAGCTGGAATGGGCAGCTGGAAAATTTAGGACCTTCTGCAGGGTAAGGTAAAGGTTCCCTTGCTCGAAAGCCAGTCAAGTCCGACTCTAGGGTTGCGGTGCTCATCTCCGTTTCAAAGCCGAAGAGCCAGCGCTGTCTGAAGACGTTTCCGTGGTCATGTGGCCGGCATGACTAAATACCAAGGCGCACGGAACGCTATTACCTTCCCACCAAAGTGGTACCTATTTATCTACTTGCAATTTCTTGCTTTCAAACTGCTAGGTTGGCAGGAGCTGGAACTAGAGATGGGAGCTCACTCCATCATGCGGGCAACTCGGGTCTCAAACTGCTGAACTACTGACCTTCCATAGCCTGCAGTTCAGCGTCTTAACCACTTGAGCCACCGCAGCTCCTTCTGCAAGGTAGCCCAGTCAATTTCAAATACGGTATGGATCTGGGGGCCTTGAAACAAGAGGCTGATGTAAAATTTACAGGCCTCATGATTTGTCCTCTTAAAAAACAAACAAACAAGCATTTGGCAAACAGACTTCTTTACTGCCCATAAAATGTTCTGGCTACAAATGATAAATTCCAGCAGAGTAGCAAAGATCAATAGCAAAGCTGATAAAATGCAAGAATACGTACATGATAGACTGTGAACTTGTTAATGTTCAAAGGATAAAACTGTTAATAAACAGCAGCTTTTTTCAAAAAATGAAGTTTACACCCATACTGTAAGCCAATTTTATTTATTCAACAGAATATTCTTGTAAAATACTGATAGAAAAATAAAGGATAACAAGACTATTAATGTGTTGCATAAGAGTTACAAAGGTATCAGCAACACTAGGCCAACATTTATCTCTTGAAAAGCAAACATTGTTTGCAACGTCTCGGAAAGGATGTCCAGGAGGAAATAAGACCACATAAAGGAAGAGGAGACAGCCAGCATGCAGTTTCTGTGGCTTGGCTCTCTATCAGATACAAACCAGCCCTGGGGGGCTACAGGATGCATCTTTACACTCAACGTGCTGCACAGAGAAAAGGGTATTTTCTTTGTCTGATTAAAGCATCTTAATACTTACGTTTAGAATTTAGTGCTACCTTGTGAAAAACTAAAGAAAAACTCCTATGAAAGCCATGGAGCTCAATAGCCAGTCTTACCACTGCAGCTTCTCAACAAGGATTTGAGAGGCCTCCAGTACTCAGTGCTTACCTGGTCAGAACTTTGGTGTGGGTGTGAATCACACTGAGGGCTTCCTTGAAACTTCCACTTTGGATAAGACAAACCACTTTGCAGTGTAGAGCAGTCACATCGTCCTTGTTGACTTGCAGTACTAGAAAGCAGCAAAAGCAGGGCCTTAAACTGGATTACAAACCCACATCTCTTCAGGTGTTCATAGCTTGGTAACTTCCAGATTAGGCCACAGTGCTTGTAAAACAGCATTGTGGGGACATACCAGCAGTTCCTTAACTACATATGTAACAGACAAGCTTCCTTCCTCGGTAGCTTGCCCATACCTATGGATTCCTCATCGCCATAACTATAGGAAAATGTTCAGTCTGTTTGTTATAGGACAGTGCTTGTGGAGCAATGAGGGGACCCAACAGGCTTGGCCAATGCCATACAAGAACTGAGTGTGAATTCTACAACATCTTCTGGAACTCATTGAGGTTCTGAGACTGATTGGTAGCTCTTGGAAGGGTTTTGTGAATGTAAAAGGAGCGAGAACTGGATGACTGTCAGAGTGCCCACAAAGATAGTTTAGAATCTTAAATTGGTTAAGAACAGACAACTCAAACTGAAGACAGCATGTTGTGTGTCAACATTGAGAGTTTTATGGATTGTCAGTTTGTACCCAGGCTCAATTCAGACTGCTGGTTCTCATCTTAAAGCCCTTTGCCAACGAAGTCCAGAGCACCTTCTGGAGTTCCTCCTCCTATATATGCTCTCTCATCCTGCTCTGTAGCTTGCTGGGTAACCCTGGGGCAGTCACACACTCTCATCCTGACCTACCCCACAGGGTTGTTGTGAGGGGAAAACAACAGAGGAGAATAATATATACTGCTTTGAGTCCCAATTGGGAAGAAAGGGCAGGATATAAATAAATAAATTTTAAAAACTGGAGCTGCCACAAAATGCATTTGGGCAACAGTGTGCATGAGGGGGGGCTCTTTCTCTTTTTAGTGTTCTGGTATTCCTTCTCTGAACTTAAGTCCATTAGAAGACCAAATGAGACTCTCTTCAGGTCTTTGAAAGGACAGCAGACTGCTTTATTACAAAGGACATGTGAAAACAGTGTGAGGAGTGGGTGGGTTTCATATGCTAGTTTCTTGTTCTAACTGTGATCTTGCTTGCTGCTTTTATACTGCTTTTATTGTAGGGTTGACTTTTATTATGTTTGTTTTGCATTGTGAGCTACCTTGAAAGCCAGGGACAAAAAGCTGCCTGTCTGATTCTAAAAAAAACACAAAACAGCCAGTGAGAAATGGAAAGCTTTGGCACCTTATACCCAAACAACATCCTTGGAACACAGCAAGGTTCAGCACAGTTTACTTCTGTAATAAAAGGCTGTTTCATATGTTACAAAACCTCCACAAAAAATAAAAACATACAACCATTTACTCATGATATGTTACAAAGCAGCAATTTCACACAACTTCACGTCACCATATGAAAGGCTGTAAGCACAGCAACCCTCCCCATGACTTTCCCATACATTTGGCATTAGTAATAACCTACACATCAGCACCCTCTTATTTCTCACATAGAAGCACCTTCTGAATAGGAATAATTAATTGTGCGAAGGGGGCACAGGCAGTGTTCCCTCTAAGCTGAGTTAGGGTGAGGTAGTTCACAGTTTTTTAGCCTCCAGCTCACACGTTTTTGTCTCGGCTCAGGAAGGATGGGCTCCAGAGCAAACTAATTTATGCAGCAGCCAGATCGCTCGCTCACAACTTTAATGCCAGTAGCTCACAAAGCAGAATTTCTGCTCACAAGACTCCACAGCTTAGAGGGAGCATTGGGCACAGGTTTACTTCAGAACATTGCAAAAGCCAACAGTTCTACCTGTAATTGGCACCCAATGATATAAGGTTTTGCAGACAGCCCCAAGTATGCTAGTGTAATGGGATGGTGCTGGCCAGAGGCCAAGAATGGCAGGGTTCCTGTACCTTTAACACTTGCATAGAAGAGCAGGTTGTTGCAGGTACAACATAAGTGGGAAAAAGCTGTACGTGATCAAACTTGCTATTAGACACAGAAATCTCTTTCTCCTTTGCACCACATCGCTCTACCTACACCTGGTTTTTAAAAACGTCTGTGCTTTTATGTATTTATTCGATTTGCATGCCGCCCTCCCCATTAGTGGGGCTCAGAGCAGGTTCCTACACATCATAACAGAACATAATATAAGATTAAGACATATCCGTTAAAAGCAATCCCAACACTTACAATTCATAACATGATTTCTTTGACAGAGGCATGCTCTCCCACTGAACAATCACTGGTGGGGACACCTCTGTTTTTAAAGGGACGGTGATAACAACTGGCCTACCCCACAGGTCTGTTGTGGCAAGCGCAAACCTTTGGGGGCCTTTGAAAGTGGTTACGTTAAAGCGAAATAACAGAAGCCGTTGCCCTCCAGCAGTAAAGGAAGTAGCAGCGGGGAAGAAAGACACAAAGAGAGTGGCTCCAGAGAGGCTCCTTCGTTCGTTTTAGTCCCTAGCTTGCAGCAGGGAGGAAAAGCAGCAGCTGGAGGGGGGGGGGAACAGACGCCCCCCAACCACATGACACCCTCCCGCTCACTCACTCTTATTGACCGACTTGAGAGCGCGCCCGAAGTCGCCGTTCTGGCCGCTGCGGTTCACTTCGCTCCAGAGTGAAGCTACAGAAGCGGCCTCTGCCGCGCCGGCGCCGCTTCCACTACCCGCGCCCGCCGCCATTTTGGCCGAGGTAGAGAAGTAAAAAAAAAAAAGGGGGGGGAGAGGAATGAAACAGGGAAAACACAGCCCAGGAATGACCTTTCAACCCGGAAAGACATCTCCCGGGCGCTGTGTTGTCGTGGAACCTCTCTATGGTGCAGTAGGGGCAGCCGGAAGGAGGCCGGGGAACGTTTCGGGGGGGGCGCCGGCGCCACTGGGCAGATCTGTTTAACTATCGTCTCCCCGGCCTCCGCTGGAGCCAAAACCACTCCTCCCGCCTCGTCTCCCAGAGTGTGGAGTGAGCTCCCTCAGTCTCTAGTTCCAAGTAAAAAAAAAAAGGGGGGGGAGAGGAATGAAATTGGGAGAGCACAGGCCGAGGAATGACCTTTCAACCCGGAAAGACATCTCCCGGGCACTGTGCTGTCGTGGAACCTCTCTATGGTGCAGGAGGGGCAGCCGGGGGAGCCGGAAGGAGGCCGGGGAACGTTTCGCGCGGGGACCGCGGGGGGGTGGTCGACAGCACCACCGGGCAGATCTGTTTAACTATCGTCTGCCCGGCCTCCGCTGGAGCCAAAACCGCTCCTCCCGCCTCGTCTCCCAGAGTGTGGAGTGAGCTCCCTCAGTCTCTAGTTCCAGCTCCTGCCAACCTAGCAGTTCGAAAGCAAGAAATTGCAAGTAGATAATAAGGTATCACTTCGGTGGGAAGGGAACAGCATTCTGTGCGCCTTGGTGTTTAGTCATGCCGGCCACATGACCACGGAAACGTCTTCGGAAAGCGCTGGCTCTTCGGCTTTGAAACGGAGATGAGCACCGCAACCCTAGAGTCGGATTCGACTGGCTTTCGAGAACCTTTGCCTTTAAGAACACTTCTGCTTGGGTTGAGAGACACTATGATCTTAGAAGCCCCCCCCACACACACACACACCCGTTTCTCACTGAGGAAGAGGAACTCTTCACATCCTCATAAACTCAGGATGAGGCAGCTTAAATTTTATTGGTTTGTTTTTTCCTTGCTAAAAGAATCTCGAGTGTAACCTGTCACCAAAGGAACCAAATGTATGTACCTCCCCACCTGCACTGAGGGCAAGGAAGCTGGTAAGGAAAAAGGGCTTTTAAAATAAGGAGGCTGAAGTTGGTTCTCACTTCCTTATTCATTCCTCATTCGTGACTTATTTGTATATCGAAGCACAAATATTGAGGACAGTATAAAAGTTCTGAACCCCAAAATAAGGTTTGGACCATTATAACTCTCCCCTTCGAGAGGATATATGCTGTTTCCTGGTCCTGTGCCAGCTGCTCCAAAGTGGGGTCCCCCAGATAATTTTAAAAGAGGGATATTGTCCTCAAAAAACAACCAGGAGGCAGAAAACTAAAGGCCTTTTATTTTTTAAATGACATTTTATTCCCCCTTTCTGTCTATAAGGCCCCCCTCCTGAGCTAACAACCGTAATATCTTAACACTAACAACAAATTATATAAAGCACACAAAACACTGTTTAAAAAGTCAATAAAATCATTTGCCAGTTTTCAGAGAGCTTTGGACGAGGTTTGAAAGGATTTATGAGAAAGGCTAAAAAGAATGATAAGTATGGGGATCCATTGGCTGTTTCCAAATGACTATAGGAATGCATTGATTGTCCAAAGGGCCCTCCCCCTAGCAAAGGGCATTTGAGTCAGCAGCAATGTTCCCTCTAAGCTGTGGGGTCTTGTGAGCAAAAATTCTACTTTGTGAGCTACTGGCATGAAAGCTGTGAAGGAGCGATTTGGCTACTGCTTAAATTAGTTTGCTCTGGAGCCATCCTTTCCTGAGCTAAGACAAAAACGTGTGAGCCGGAGGCTAAAAAACTGTGAGCTAGCTCACACTAACTCGGCTTAGAGGGAACACTGGTCAGCAGTATAGTATTTATATATTAAATTGGATTTCTAGACTGCCTTCCCCTGTAAACAGCCTACAAGCCACGGAGCCCCATTAATGTAATCGGTTCTGCATATGCATTTGCCACATTGCCAGCAAGGCTATGTGGTTCAGAGGACTAGAGGATAACATAGGATATCACTGACCTTCCTGCCCCAAATCCCATGCAGAAAACAATTGTCAGGACAAAGCACCAGCTCTTCCTAGATCACCTTACTCCAACTCAGGTTGGGATACCAGAGATGCAGCCCCCCCCTCCCCGTGTATCAGTGATATTCTGAGCCCATATATCTACTGAGAGTGCGCGTAAGCACACTTCAGACACCCCAAGACTTTCAAGGGACACGTGACACCCCCCCCACACACACACTGTTTGCAATTACACTGAATTATTTTCTACTATTGCCTTTGGTCAAAAAAGGGTTTGAAGGTTACTGAAACAGTACAAACCCTTATATAAACTGTTGATCAGAGAGAAAACGCAAATGACAATATACACAAGCCAACAATTCCTTTTCCATTCATTTTCAGTGCTTGAGATGGGCGAAGGCGAGTCTCTACTCAAAATGGTTTGTGTGCCTCCCTTTCTCACAGCCACAAATTTTCTGTACCTAAAGCTGCTGTAAAGGTAAAGGTAAAGGTTCCCTTGCTCAAAAGCCAATCAAATCCGACTCTAGGGTTGCGGTGCTCATCTCCGTTTCAAAGCTGAAGAGCCAGAGCTGTCCGAAGACATTTCCGTGGTGTAACCAACAACAATTCAGAGAGAAATATATTCCAAAATTCTCTGCACAGCATGGGCTCCTTAGTAGACAAACTGACTATGTGGGGAAGGCAAAAAGTTTGAAGATACAGTGTTTAGAAATGACTGCCATTATCACTGGTCTCCAACTTGCTATTTTGAGGAAAGACGAGAAAGCATATGGTGGCGGAACAGCCCCAGGGTTTCTTGGATGACCTCTGCCCTTGTCCCATTTATTTCAATCAGGCTTCAGGCCTGGATTTGACCCAAGACTGCGTTGATTGCACTGGTAAGCATTCAATCTGTTGGACAGTGGTCAGTTGCTTAAATCTTTCAGTGGCCTTTCATATAGTTGACCACTCCATCCTTCATGTTAAAGAGTCATCCTTTGGAGCCCTGACCTGGGTAGTCTAGGCAAGCCAGACGTTGTCAGATCTTGGAAGCAAAGCAGGGCTGACCCTGGCAAGTACTTGGGAGACCTCCAAGGAATACCAGGGCTGGGATGCAGAGGCAGGCAATAGTAAGACCCGTCTGAAACGTCCAAGCCCCACTAGGGTAGCCAGAAGCCAACCATGACTCCCAGGCATACATACGTTCACACACAAAATACTCCCCACCCAAGTCATTCTTTGGTGATTTTGATCTGTTTTGTCTAAGCAGACAATAATCTTCTGGGTACGGTTGCCAACTGTGGGTTGGGAAACTCCTAGAGATTCGGGGGTGGAGCCTAGGGAGGGACCTCAGCAGGGTATACTACCACAGAGTCCAGCCTTCAAAGCAGCAATTTCCTCCAAGGGGGCTGATCTCTGTAGTTTGTAGATCAGTTGTACTTCTGTGAGGCAGACTATTGGCAGGCAAACGCCTGGTAACTGTTGCCGTTGCCCGCCAGTGCTCATCTGGTTGACTGGCAGAAGCAGGCTGGCAAAACGGGGAGGGGGAATCTTCATCCTCACATGATGAAATCATTTCCGGCACAACCCAAAAACGCTGGCATCACATCAGGGCAACACTCTAGCACTTGCCCAGAAATGCCAGTTTTCTGGATTGCACTGGACGTGATGTCATTGCACCTTAAGCAACACCCCCTCCACCTGTAGCAAGTACCCACCTCCCCATCTCCTGCTGGCTCCCAGTTCATGCCAGGCTACCCTACTGAGAGGTCTCCAAACCCCACCTAGAAGTTGGTATCTCTCTCTCTCTGCACTGGCTGCAGGCATCTGGGTATTCCCTCCCTAAGGGGCGTCACCTGGCATCAACAGGGACCCATGCTTCTCTGCAAAGCTGCTTACCTCTCTTCACGAATATCAAAGCAGGAAAAAAAGTTATAAGAGTAAAAGCTGCAGCTTCATACACAATTATGCAAATTTGCATTTATACAGATCAGAGAGACCAATTCTGGAGTCGCTGGGGGCAGAAATTTCACCTGTACACGTAGCCTCATCCAGACCCCACTGGGAACACTACAGCCAATCTTAAGAGCCGGGCCTTGTACCTGTTGCTGAGAAACCACAGGCAGATCATTCACATGGTGCCCGGAACAAAGACGACTCTCCACCTTGTTAGTAACAGAAGATGCTCATTAAACAGCCCAAGCAAGATGGTATTTAAAATTTTTATTTTTCTCATCAAAAGTTCTCTTGGTAGAAGGATGGCAATGCTGTTCAGTGCATATTACATGGGGGGAAGGGAAGAGAACACACCTCTCAAATGTCTAACCTGAAAACCATAAGACAGCGCTGTGTATAAAAATGAGCCAATGGTCACCATAATGCTGCCCGTACAATTCACACACAGAAAATACACTATATTGTTAAATACAGAAAATGGGTGCTTAACTGAGGGGTAGCCACTAACAAAAGCAACAGCAGTACATGAGAGAAGAGAAGCCATTTGCTATCGGACATGATTGGGAAGGTCACAAAACAAGGTCACATCCATCTGTATTATGACAACGAATGCGCCACCCACGGTGCCTAGATCTGCCACAGAAGCTCTGTGGATTTGAAAGGGCAACTCAGCATCATATAAAATGGGGGGGGGGGGGGTTAAGTACTTAGGGATTTCCATATTGAAAAACGTGGACCAGACACAGACAATTGTGGAGCTAGTTCTGTGCCTCTCTTCCCTGGCCGGATGACAAATTTGCAACGTAAACCGAGAGGCCTTCAAAAGCTGTTGAAGAGACAACACTGGGGTGGAATGGAATGGGTATGTGCTGTTTAAAGAAGGGGAAGCCAAAAAAAAAATCCCCTCGGGCACCCCAAAAGTAGCTCTTTAACTCTCGGTCTCGGCTCTGTTTGAGAATCAGCCTCTTCAAAACCAATCCACACTTACGTCCATCTTCTGTTCCTATTCTGATGATACAACACAGATGCCACTGTCAAGATCATCAGGCTTCAAAGTTTGCTTTGCACTTGACATTAATATGTTGTTGAAAACAAAATGCACAGAAACCCAGTGACGCTTATGCACCGATAAAAGAGTTTTAAAATGACTGCAGTTTCTGATGCTTGCAAGGGTCATGTGCACAAGCCAACCTCCATAGGTAGCTCTATCAGTGACAGATGATCTGTATATGGGCTCAATGCAACCCTCGTGCCCCTCTCCTGGTCACGCCCTTGCAGCACACTAGGCATTACTTGCAACCGGAGGCCAATACAGGGCTCACTTATTCTCATCTGGCTGCCCTTCGTCTCCCCAAGGTCCTCTCTAGAGCCCTGGCAAGGTGAAGGGTGGATACAGGATCGTACAGGAACTATACAAGTAAATGGCTTCAATCCCAACTATGATTTCCCACTGGCGGAAGGCACTTCCACTGGCAGAAAGAGGGGAGCATCTTGACCACTCACTACAGACCCTCACTTTGCCTCCTGTGCTGTCCCTGCTGACTCTGGGGCGGGGGACACAAATTTCAATAGAGCGCAGCAGGAGGAGGGAGGTCAGAAAATTTGCTTCTACTCGCACGGAATAGGATCCAGTGTGCACTGGGTGCACGTATGCCTGCAGCTTAGCCCAGGAGAGTGAGAAGATTCCATTGGGCTATACTACAGAGTGGATCCCTTGTGGATCATGCCCCAAGCTGACAATTAAAAAAAGAAGGGAACATGCTTAGCAACTGGATCGAGTAATCCAACCTGACTAATCTGGATGAATGCACAGGGGTTAGCAGAGACAAGCATCTAAACATCCAACAGAAGAGCCAGCAGTGAAGTTATCACTCCCCGAGAATAGCAGCTAAGAAATGTGGTAAGAAGTTATGGTGAACAGAAAAGACGATTTAAGAGGTATGCAACAAATATTATATAGTGAAAAATTACAAGTGGTGTACTCTAACAGAACTACGGGTCTGATCTAACACTTAATACATTAATGCATAAATTGAAACATTGACAATCACGTAAAAAAAGAAATACACCCTTCAGTCAAAGATTTGCCGGACAAGCCAAACTTTGACAATAGTTTAATACAGCAATCGATCTGCTCTGGTAAGTCATTACCTACAGCAAAAGTGTCACTCTCCATTTCAAAAGCCTTTTGATACCGTGTATAAAATAAATTACAAAAAGGGAAGCAGAAATCCTCCTGTTATATGCTGCAAATGCAGTGGGCGCAATCCGCCGGGAAGTTCTCCCGCAAAACACCCCATGGGAAATAACGCAAGGCGGGCGGATGCATTTTGCGTGGGAATCCCGCGGGGGGAACTCCTGGCTGGCTCGTGCCCATTAAGTCAGTAGTTCCATGGATGTGCCGTTCATTTCCCCCTTTGGTACAACTGAAAGAGCTGACACAGAATGTCAAAAGCATACGATATTTATAAATAGAAAGGTTTCAAAAAACGTTTTTCTTTAAAAAATGAGATTTTTAAACGTCAGATTCCCCTACTGAGAGGTGCCTCCTGCCATTTACAGCATCTGCAAATAAAATGTATGTACGATGAACACTAAGTCCCAAAATAACTAGAATGTAGAAACCCCTTTATTGTAAAAAGCTGTCCTGCCCCATACCAATAGCATAATTCTCCCCAGCCCCTGCTCCACATAGGAACAAGCAACTCACTGAGCCCTTCTCTTCTGCCCTTCACACATCACTACCCCAAATTCTCCAGGCATGCAGACATTTGCTAATTCATGGCACAATCGAGCCAAAGCTACACACCCTAAGTCCTCTGGGGCTCAAAAGGCGGGAGGGAGTCTTAAGCGCATGTTTAAGCCTACTGATGTCAGGGGGAGACTTAAGGTGCAATCTTATGCACATTTCCTTAGAAGTTATGCCTTGCTGAATTCAATGGGACTTAATTCCAAATAAACACACCTAGGGTTGGGTGGCAAAAAAGTGCTTCCCTTTGACAGGGCTTCGCTCTCAGCTTGTTGTCAGTTTGGTTATACGATTGTACCTTACAGCTTAAAAAAATCACCCAGGGTAAAAAACCCCGAAAACAATGGTATCTTTAAACACATTATAATTTTTTTAAAAAAACAAACAAACGTTTAAACATCACATTTAAGTATTCCGGCTCCCACATTAAAATAAAATGGCGTCAACAATTAAAAAATGTTTGAAATCAAAGAAAAGGTTAAAACTGTATGTGAAAAGAGGGGGAAAGTGACGACAGAGCGTCCTACGCCTAGGGTCTCTCTGCAGAAACAGTACATTCGCTTTATTGCCCGTTCTCTCTCTTGGATGAATGGCCACTGAATGACGCACGATGCCTGATAGTTCTCTGTAGCGTTCTTTTTTCACCACTGTTGCCAGCTGAAGTCGTCGTTGCTGCCAAAAACCAAGAAAAACCCTAGGATGGTGGCAAATATGACTGTGTTTCCCGTGAGGACGAGCGCACAGGCACCCCACGCAATCTAGGGGCGGGGAGGGGAAATAAAAACAGACACATGCAAGTTATGCCTCCAGAAGGAAGATGCAAAGGTTTTCACACGTTAACATCAGCCACTATTTTTTAATTTCTATTTCTCACCACGTTTGCAACCCCACTTGTACTTCAAGTGGCTCAAAATGGGTTTGCAGATGGTTCCCAGGCAGTCTCCTGTTCAAGTACAGCTCGGGGCCTGATCCGACTAGTTTCAATAGTCAAACAGCACTGTGTTGCCTTCAGACCATTCTCTGGGGCTGAGCCACTGACACACCTCAACACTATGATCAGAAAGAACCAGTTCTTGCCAGCAAAGATCTCATGAGAACAACATTCTCTGGGGCTGAGCCACTGACACACACTGTTATCTTCAGCTACCCATGAACAGGTGAACAATTTCCAACTGGCAAGACGTTAGGGCCATCTGGCCTATATTGAAATAGGTACAAATCTCTCCAAAATGGCCGGCTTCTGGTGCAGTACTGTCAGAAAGCATGATTTCAGGCACGGGACAAGGTGTACGGCTGCTGGAAGAGAGACTGACATTAACCCAACTGGTGGTTACGGCCACCTCAAACACAGTACGCAGCCATGAGAGGTGAGCTGAAGCTGGGTAGGATCTCCAGGAAGGTGTGTGTGTGTGTAGAAAGGTCTAAGGAGCAGATTTTGCATTTTTACAAAAAATCCTAAATGCTGCTTCTAGCAAATGGACTATGTAGAAAACCTCAAAACTATGATCAGAAATAACCATTTCTTGCCAGCAAAGATCTCATGAGAACACCTCTTGAGATCTCAGCCACCACTGTGAGAAGCCTAACACAACAATGGCCTGACCCGGATAGCCCAGACTATCCTAGTCTCATCAAATTTCAGCAACTAAGCAGTGCTGGCCCTGAAATAGGATACAATGGCACCACCGGGATAGCCCAGACTATCCTAGTCTCATCAAATTTCAGCAACTAAGCAGTGCTGGCCCTGAAATAGGATGGGCGACCACCAAGGAGACCACTCACACTATCCTAGTCTCATCAAATTTCAGCAACTAAGCAGTGCTGGCCCTGAAATAGGATGGGAGACCACCAAGTGTCGTGATGTGGAGGCAGGCAATGGCCAACCACCTCTGTTCATCTCTTGCCTTGAAAACCCTGTGACTTGACAGCACTTTTCGGCACCAACAAAACAACAAGTCTGCGGAGAACTGGACACACAGTTTTGTTCCCTCTCTGACCCTGGCCTCCAATGCTTGGGAGAGGGTACTAAAACCTAAAGCCCATTCAAAGAAGCACAACGTGAGGTGGAGTCTTTGTGGTGGCTCCATCACAGACATGGCCATGAGGATGGGGGAGAGCAGGCTGGTGGGGGTGTACTGGGAGAGAACCTTCCTCTGCGAGTTCTCACAGGTTCAACAAACACAGAGAGCCAGCCATTGTGGAAGAAGCACTCAAGTCACAATTCCCTGCTGACTTCAGCACTGTTGGTCCCCCACCTCACGAGAATGGAGGGACCACTTCAGAAGGTTTGGCAACAACAGAAGAGATTCTGGAGTGCAGCTTCCATTCACTGGAGTTGGCCCTTCCCATCACCCAGGGTGGCAAAAAAATCCTTGGGCCAGTCCTGCTTTAAGCTAATCCACAACTTTTATTTGTGCTACAACGGGCCTTTTTAAAGCACTCGACCACCCCCGCTGCCAAAAACACACTCAAGAGGAGGAAATACTAACCAGGGCGGCTCTGGCAAACACAATCGGAAGCCCAAATGCCGAGACAACGATGCCCGTCGTCAGAAATATGGCGAGTTCCTTGCAGGCGTTGCTTGCGGCGTCTGTGTCTTCAACGACTCTTCTTGCTATGCAGTAGGGAATTGGAGAGAGGATGTAGAAGAACAAAACAAACAGGGGCCAATATGTGCTAGAAGCAAAGGGAAAATGCAAACATTCAGTTATTGTGCTGACTTTCTTCATGCATTTGCTTCAGATAAGGAGTACCGTTACCCTTACGCAACCACGTCCGTCGAGGGTTTTGGGGCAGCACTTTCACTACTGCTTAAGCTGCAAGACTTTGGCTTCCTAATTAATCATCTGAATGGATGCCAGTGCTGAAATAGGCATGATTAAGGCAACTACTGAAGCGATATTAAAAATAATCCATTAATAATACAGCTAGCCCTGACCCATATCAGTCCTCAGACATCGGTCCTCCTACCTAAAAGCTTGTTCACCCCAGCTTCCTGGCTTGGAATTTGCTAAAAGCCTTTTTGCAAAGTGTAACCTTTTAGCTGAGTGTCGCTGTCAACCTTGCGGTTGGAATCGGCTCAGCAACCATAGTAATGAAGCTGTGGTCAAGCTTCAGAGACAGCCAGGTGTGAAGGCGCATAGTTTTTAGAACTAACTTGTAAAGCAAGCAAAATGAAATGGGGCACTGAAATAGAGACATATCCTGTAACAGGAAAGAGGTGCTGTGTAAAGAAAGTTTCCACTCTTATGCTCTGCTTGTGTGACATGTCACTTGTAACTGTATAAAAGCCTCGAAACCGCGCAGTTCGGGGTTCAGCCATTTTAAGCAATTCTTGCTTGCGGAACCTGACGTCAATAAATAACCTTCTCCTCTTGACTGATCTGGTGTGGTCTCACTGACTGGACATAGGCTCCTCTTCTGTGCTTCACTGCTGATACTCCAAGACAGACAAGCTCGGAGTCTGTCTGGAGGCGGAACCCCATTGACTTTGCCTTCTGTGGGAGGTGGCAAGACAAGAGGAGCCTGGATCGACATAACTGACCATATCCAAGAAAGGACAGGTCTCCCCTGGCTTCAACAGGGTCGGCAGGAGCAGGCATGTATTTTTAGTGAGATGAATAGGGCAACATATGATAAACAAGCTTAGACTATGGAGAGTTGGAACTACAAGGAGTGCTCAAGCCAGAGAAGTGAGGAGAGAGATCTGATGGCTGTTGAAGGCAGTGGAGAGCTTGTGCTTTTGGCAGGCACAATAGGACCGAATGGCTAAGGTCAGACATTAAGTCGCATATTCTATTACCAGCCCTCTCCCACCTACCAGCCCCGGTGAAAAACTGTGGGCACTTGTTAGGCTGGGAGATTGGTGTCTCCAGGTGAAACTAGAAACAGCTTAATCTGTGAACAAAGGCTGTTATCACCTTATGGAGAACAACTTTTTTTAGGCACATGGACAGTTTCTCTTAGACTAGTTGAATTCGTTGCATGGAAGAAGCTCATTCTTTGGGATACTCTGGTCACCGAAAGCATTTCCACTGTGATCCATAACATACCTATCTGGATTTATTCAGGTGGGTAGCCACGTTGGTCTGAAGCAGCAAAACAAAGTTTGAGCCCAGTGGCACTTTTAAGTCCAACAAAGTGGTATTCAAGGTATACGCTTTTGTGTGCATGCAAAATTCTTCAGATAGAATAAAACTTTGTTGGTCTTAAAGGTGCCACTGGACTCAAGCTTTGTTCTATCTGGATTTAGAATGTGTTTATTTTGCTGAAAATGACAAGTCCAAACAGCAGTGGGACCATATATCTGAGCCAATTCAAAGCCCAAACTATACTGTAGAACCAACTACAGCCCTGTTGCACCATATTATGTTAGGGTGCCTCAGAAGCTCACACTTAGCAGATTGCAAACTCCATATCTTTTGGAGTCTATCCACTATCTAACATTGATCTGTAATGCACTGAGCCCATTCTTCGTGACAGCAGAGTACAATCGATAACCGTGTCAGCATCTAGCTGATTAGGGACCATTTTCAGCTGAGTTCAGGCATGGCTGGTGTCTTCCTCCCTCTCCAGATCTCAGGGGCATGGCTTGCCTTTTGCACTATGGAGGAAAGAAGGCCAGAAGCCTTGCGGGGACTTGCCTGAGTGGTTCCCCATAGAAGACAAGGCTCAGCTGAACACCGTGTGACCGGTTTGATCTTCTCTGTCACAGCATCAAAGAATGAGGAAGGAAGAAGACCTGAGCACATTTCTAAGCACTGCTCAATACTCAGCTGAGAGCATGCCAAAAAAAAAAAAAAAAGCAAGGGAAAAAAGGGATGGTAGAATAGTGGGACTGGGGACAAGGAGCAGCAGACGAAAAGAGCCAGGCAGTCTCGCTCCAATTACTTAGCCTATCGGTTCCCCATAGAAAACAAGGCTCAGCTGAACACCGTGTGACCGGTTTGATCTTCTCTGTCACAGCATCAAAGAATGAGGAAGGGAAAAGACCTGAGCACATGTCTAAGCACTGCTCAATACTCAGCTGAGAGCATGCCAAAAAAAGAAAAAAAGCAAGATGGTAGAATAGTGAGGATGGGGACAAGGAGCAGCGGACGAAAAGAGCCAGGCAGTCTCCCTCCAATTACTTAGCCCATCGGGACTCAGCATCCACAACTTCCTAGAGCCCTGTTCTAAATTGCATGTGGATTCATGGGGTCAGGCTGGGTTTTGCTGTTGCACTGTCCAATCTATTGATTTCCTGAGCTTGCTCTTGTCACATTCTCAGAAGGGGAGCAGAGACCTTTTTAAACTGGAGATGATCTGGGGTGCTGGTCGGTTTCCCATCAATTTGGTTGCTGCTGTTTTACCATCTTGGGGTTGTTGTTTTTAACTGCAGAGTTGATTACTTAATAGCATGCTGAGGGCAGCCATATAGGCAAACTTATGCTTCTGAGGAAGAAACAAAGCACCTTACATTGCCTGCTCTGATTTTCCTCGGGTTCCTCCCTCTTTTTCAGAACTACCCCAGATTCACTTTGTATCACAGGTCACCAGTTTGTTTAGCACCAAGAATTTGAGGAATAAAGGACAGAGATAAAAGTTAAAAGGCATATCACTGTTCTATTGCTATGACAAACAAAAGCGAGAGAAGGAACCAAAACAGTGTATGAAAAATATACATTACTTGTACTGTGGAAGGGCACAACCGAGCATCAGGAACATGAGCCCAATCGCTCCCCCGAAGGACAGGCTAATGAGAGCTGTGAAGGAGGAACACAGAAATGTATCAATCTCCCAAAGTACTTGGACTATTTTCTCCATCTACCGCCAAGAGCTATAGGTCAGGCCAAGAAAAGGATTCTGTTCCCTCCTCCCAGCCCCCCCAAATTAGGAGGCTGAATGCTAAAGAAATAAGACACTGAACAACTACAATGGAGTGCAGCGAGAGGGCAAGCATATAGTAGAGGGAAGTGCTCCCCCCGAGTCACATTTGAATTAGGCATAAACTGACATCTGTTAATTATATTTCTACTAGAAGTACGGCATTATTGTTGTTGTTCAGTCGCACAGTTTTAATTATATTTGTACTAGAAGTACAGCATTGTACAAGGTGGAAATCTGCTATTTACGCAATTTAAATATTCCATATTAAGGACAGTCAAATGGAGACTTGTAGGGAGAGGGAAATCCTCTCCTGCCCTCTCTAGACCCTCTTTCTGTGCTGCCTTCGTTTCTCCCTCCCCTACCTCCACCCGTTTCTCCTTCTGGGGTTGGTAACTAGCACCACTGCCACAATGCCAATAGCTCTTTCTGCAAACCTGTGTGTGTGTAGGGGAGGTTAATCCACAGAGTTTTCAATACCGTCATTGTAGCCATGACTGCCCCCTTTGTAGAGATTCTTTGATGTGTATTGTGGCCAGCCTCTGTCTATTACCTATAAAAAACGGTGCTGATAATTTTCCAGCTGACATTGCAACAATTATTAGGTTAAAAAGAGCTCCTGTATCCAGAACCCTTTAGCAGTGTTTACATCATATGTCAGAGCATTCAAAGTGTCCCACATTCATTATCTTTACAACAACCCTGTAAAGTGATCATAATTAAAATTATGAACTGCTAGAAGTAAATAAATGATATTATTTCCCATATGTTAGAGAGAGGGGTAGAGAGAGAGAGTGGCTGGCTGAAGACCTCAACTGAGTTCACAGCCAAGGCAACTTTTCCAATGAGGTCCTCCTAATTCCCAGTTCAGTCACTCCTAATTAAAGTTTAAAAGGGCATATGGGCTCCCATCCTTCTGTCATTCCATAGAATGTTCAAGAGAGCATTTTCAAAAAGAAATTAGAAATGTAGTAGAATGGAACGACTCAGCTGTGCACCTTTATATGGAAGCAGACTGTAGTCTGCTCCAACGATTATCATAGGTATCACTTGCTGTAACTGTGCAGCCATATACTTTATAATCGACTTTCTGTATTGTTCGTCGTATACCTTGTCTGTTGTTTGCATTGTTATGTAACTCTGTAAACCTATATCTAACACACTGTTCGCTGCTGAACTTTCCCTGTCTAACTGCACTGTTTTATATCCTGTGATAATTACCTTGAGTCTCAGTAGGATGATCTATAAAAGCATATAAATAAAACTCATATGATTGCATTGCTAGCCACTGACATATACAATACGCTCGTTTATACAGTATAAAACTAGTTATTTCCTCATAGTTATTATTAACTTCAGTTATGACTACTTGTAGTTTCATTTCCCCTTTATTTTGCTATCAAGCCACAGCTGACTTAAGGTGACCCTGCGTGGTTTTCAAGGCAAGAGACATTTGGAAGTGGATTGCTGTTGCCTGCCTCCACATCAGGACCCTGGACTTCCTTGGAGGTCTCCCATCCAACTCCTAGCCAGGGCCAACCCAGTTTAGCTTCCAAGATCTGATGAGATCTATCTGACCTAGGCTATCCAGGTCCTCTACTCTTCCAGTTATGTACAATTTGATTCTCATTTACCCTCATAGTCAGCCTCTACAGATGAGAAAGAATAACTTGCACATGGAAATAGATTCAGGTGAGGTAGCCATGTTGGTCTAAAGCAACACAGCAAAGTGTGAGTGCAATGGCACCTTTAAGATCAACAAAGTTTAATTCTGGGTATAAGCTTTCACATAAGAACATAAGGATAAGCCAATGTTGGATCAGGCCAATGGGCCATCCAGTCCAACACTCTGTCACACAGTGGCCAAATATACCATGTGCCATCAGGAGGTCCAGCAGTGGGGACAGGACACTAGAAGCCCTCCCACTGTTGACCCCCCCAGGCACCAAGAAGACAGAGCATCACTTGCCCCAGACCGAACATTCCTATCTATACCTTGTGACTAATAGCCATTGATGGACCTCTGCTCCATATGTTTATCCATAAAACTTGAAAACTTATACCCAGAATTAAACTTTGCTGCTGGACTCAAACTTTGTTATATTGCACATGGAAAAATCAGCCTGTCACCACTCACATCAGCAGCCCAACTTTTTCTTCCTCATCACCATACAGGAACTACAGCGGATTCGTTAATCTCATGACTCCCACCATATTGTAGCTATTCGTGCTCTAGGTTCGTATTATTTATAGCACATTAAGATTTGAAACAGAAAATCCTAGTGGGTTTTTTTTTGTTTTTTTTAAGGATAAAGGAATTCTGTCCACAATGTCACATGATATGATCATATCACTCGTGGCTACAGAACAACAGACCTGCCAAAACAGCCCTTCCCCCAGGGCCAAGCTAACCTGATACATTCAGAGATCCATACCTGGAGCTCTGAGTGTATTTGAAATTCAGCTGTCAGGCATGCAGAGGCTCAGTCTGGATTGAGACAGCAGTGTGAAGGATTTAAGTCCTCCACCTCTGTTCCCAAGATCTAAACTAGTCCCAGGAGACTGCTATTTGTTCTGCTGGTAGCTATATGTTCCCTTAAAGGGGTGAATGGCAGCTCCCTATGTCTCTTTTAGATTGGCGAAGGGGTGTGAAGGGCTAATCCTAATTCAAAATCCAATGCTCCCTCCAAACTGTGGAGTCTTGTGAGCAAAAATTCTACTTTGCGAGCTACTGGCATTAAAGCTGTGAGCAAGCAATTTGGCTACTGCATAGATGAGTTTGCTGTGGAGCCATCCTTCCTGAGCTAGGACAAAAATGTGTGAGCTGGAGGCTAAAAAACTGTGACTCAGTTTAGAGGGAACACTCCCTGCACACCTGACAAATAATCACAGCGGGATCTAGATCTCTAGGGTTTCCCTTGATTTAAGTGACTCCAAGTTATTTCACTTGACCCTATTATGAGATAAGAACTCCAGGTGTGAAACATCATGCTGGACAGTTCTTCTGGTATCTTACAGTTGTGGCATGTCCCCAGCACTTCTCATAAAAGCATCTGACTTATGCTGTGCCAAAAAGTCCTACCTATTTATCACAATTATGTCATACCCAGAGAGAAAGGAAAGCATGCACAGATGGTGGCTGTTTTTAATGATACGATTACTGTTGTGAGTTACTTCCAGATGGCAAAAATGGAAATGTTTTAAAGACATACACAGCTATGAAAGGCTGAGGTTTTTTCTAGGTGAGGTTCGGCAACAGGTAACCGCACAGGCTCTGAGGAGAAGCCCACCGCTCAGATGTGCTGTTAGGCATCACACACATTTCTTTGGATGTAAATCCCACTAAGCTCAAAAGCAATCATTTCCAGTAGGGCAGCTGTGCTACCTTAGCAAAACATCAAACAACCTTATGGCAATTTACAGACACATTCATCCTATCGCACGTTTTCGGGGACATAAAAGGGGATCGCACCCATGAAAGCCGAAGCCACATTGACTGCTAGCTTTTAAGGCACCACAAGGCAATCCCCCACCCGCAGTGCAATAGGGCTCACTTCCAGAGAAATATCTGCACAGGATTATCACCCAAAAGTCCATTTACTACAGGATGTAATTCCTCTTTTTCATCTTTTAAAACGGAAAGGGAAAAAAGATAGCAGCCAGCCATACCATACTTTTAGGCGGGCCAGTGCCTACTTTAATTAAATTAGGTGCCTCCCGAGAAATTTAAATGCTCCCAGACAAAAGGAATCCTGGCTACCGGCCTGCTCTTAGGGTAGTCACAGAAGTCAACAAGCCCTTCGATCTTGCACCCAAAGGTACACTGCCATTGTGCATTGAGGCTCTATCCACGTACCAGTCAGTAAGCATAAATACACCTTGTATACGATACTCAGATGTATACAGTAGCTGCGCGTTGAGGTGCTGGTCAGCTACCTTATTTATAGATAATAGCCTTTTTTAAAAAAAAGAAAAATACCGACTAAACCTGCTTGCTTGGGCAGACCCTAGCCAGCATTGCTCCCAGGGATCCAGGAGAGAATCGGAGCTGGGGGGTGCGGGGCCAGGGGAGTGGGGAGACTTTCCACCCGCTTCCGTGTTTCCCTGACCCAGCCAGGCTCCCGTTTCCATGGAAACCGAGCGGGACCCCGGGACCGTCGGGCTGCGTCACCACCAGAGTCGGCGGAGGGGCGTCCAGGCCCGGGAGAAGCCCCGCACCTCCACCGCATTGCTATCGCCTCGACTCAGCCCTTCCCTTCCCCGCCCCTCCAAGCCGCCGCCGGGCTGCTACCTTTGATGCCAGCCATGATGCCGCCGCTGTTGTTGCCGCACAGGCCGCTCCCAGCCAACAACAGACAAGCCCCGGAAGTACGCGCTCCCAGGGTAGGTTTCCTGCGATCTGAGGACACGCATTCCAACGGCCGGTCTGGGACTCAAGCTCTATGGTAGAGTGGTCAGTCATAGTGTGGAAAGTCGAGAGCGGCTGGCCGGCCGGTGCTCAAATCTTTCAACTGTGATAATATTTTGCAGTAAGCCTACCGATTGACTGAATGATTTATCGAACTCTGCCTGGGAAATTTCTAGACACCTGGGGGGGTGGAGCCTGGGAAAGGTAGGGTTATAATGTCATAGAGTTCACTCTGCAAAGTAGCCATTTTCTCCAGGGGAAATGATGTAGTGTGTAAGTCTAATTCTGGGAGACCTCCAGACCCCATCTGGAGGCTGGCGACCCTTGGAGTCCTAGTGAGAAAGGACTAGAAATGAAATCTATAAATCTATATTTATATCTGAAGAAGTGTGCTTGCACGCAAAGCTTATACCTTGAATAAACCTTTGTAGGTCTTAAAGGTGCACTGGACTCCAACTTTGTTCTACTGCTTCAGACCTACACGGTTACCCACCTGGATCTATCTTTATATCCCACAGTGGGTATTGCTCATCTGTTGGCCTGACTCAGTAGAAGGCATGCATCATGTGCTAGCTTCGTCTTAGCAGGGTGAAAACTGCTAGAAATAAATTCCAACCTTTTCAGGTTCTCACCCGCACATCAACCCTGCAAAGTAGGTCAGGCTGAAAGACAGAGTCACTGGTCCACACACCAAGCTTCCATGGCACAGGACAGATCTGAATCTGAGTCTCACAAACTCAACCCAGCACTCTATTACATTACACTGGCTCTGATCCTATCCACTAACTTCAATGAGATTTATTCCCAATGAATAACAGGACTGCAGCCTCATTATGTGGCCGAAAATTGCAAGAATTCTAGATTTTCTTCCAGCCATTGAACTTTTCTCCTAATTTCATCTTCATTACATCATCATGTAGTCACTACTGAATTAGACATATGACTCATACCCCTCCACCATTCCCCTTAGTCATACAGATCCTGTAAAATACTTCTGCCTGGTTTCTGTTTCCACAAGTTAAGTCACATCTATCGAGTAAATTATTCTGTCCTTTAACATACATAGGTTTTCCCTCCCCATTTTATCCGCCCAAGCTTTCCTGAAAGAGAGAGCTTGTTCACTAACACCAGCACTGGAAAACATTTTTTAAAAACAAAATTTCTAGATTGAAGAACAAAAACTATTTCCTTCTATGGGATTCCAAGAAAGTTGTTACAAAGAGTTTTCCCAGGTTGACCACTTCTACCAGTACACGGCCTGCTTGGGAAACAGCCCCACGGCTCCTGGAAAAAGATCCACCTGCTAAGGCATGTCACATGCAGAAATACCTTTGGGACACACAAGCCGCTATTAAGTATCTTGCTATTTTATTTATTTATTTATTTATTTTCAATTTGTATTCCGCCCCTCCCGCAGAAGCGGGCTCAGGGTGGCTTACATTAAAAGTTAAAATACAGTAAAACAACAATTCAATGTATACAAAACGCTTAAAATTCATACATATTACAATAGCAAGTCACTAATAAATAGTTGGAGCTATGGTGGCTCAAGTGGTTAAGACGCTGAACTGCAGGCTGTGGAAGGTCGGTAGTTCAGCAGTTCGAGACCCGGGTGCTGCATGACGGAGTAAGCTGCCGTCTCTAGTTCCAGCTCCTGCCAACCTAGCAGTTCGGAAGCAAGAAATTGCAAGTAGATAAATAGGTATCACTTCAGTGGGATGGTAACAGCGTTCCGTGCGCCTTGGTGTTTAGTCATGCTGGCCACGACCACGGAAACGTCTTCGGACAGCGCTGGCTCTTCGGCTTTGAAACGGAGATGAGCACCGCAACCCTAGAGTCGGATTCGACTGGCTTTCGAGCAAGGGAACCCTTACCTTTTAATAAATAGTTAAAATGCTAGTGGCGGTAGCTTTAGGCCATGATGTAACAAATAAAGCAAAAAGTATGGCCAGAGGATGTTCCTGTTGAGTTCTTCAGTCTGGACCTAGAAGCATTCAGAAGATTATGAGAACTGTAAATATAAATAAATACAGTAGGAAGTAACTGAGTTGCCTTGTGGTGTCACATTAGGATCTAAAGTTCAGATTGACAGTCAGCTCCCTTGGTGACCTTGGGCCAGTTATTCTGTGTCAACCTAACATGCTTCCCAGGGTTGTTGTGAGCTCTAGGGTTACCAACCACCAGGTGGAGGTCTGTAGATTTCCTGGACTTACAACTGATCTCCAGACTACAGAGGTCAGTTCTGGAAAAAATGGGTGCTTTGAATGGTAGACTGTATGGCATACCCTGCTGAGGTCCCTCTCCAACTTCCACCCACCAAATCTCCAGGAATTTTCCAACCCAGCATTGGCAACCCTAGGGAGCTCCTTAAAGGAAGGGTAGGAGGAAAAAGTATAGACAGATTTATATGCCACTGAAGATCATTCTGTCTATAGTGGCTTTACATATAACACAGCCACAAACCTGGCTCTAGAATCATCATGTTTTAATTGTACTTTAAGTCCGCATACTTGTTTAGAAATAAACCCATTGAACAAAGGTACTAACTTCCCAGTAAACATGCATTTCTTCAGCAATAATTACTTCCCATTTCATTGCAGCCAATCTTTAGAAGTATATCTGACTGAGTTTCACCTGTAAAAATAGATGAATTGACCGTTACCGTCCAGTTCTTCATATGGTTTATTCAGAAGCAGGTCCATCAGAGTTCAGCTGTGAGTCTGTATAGAAGTGCAGCCTGAATATTCATTTACTTTTATTGATTCATTTACCTTTTTCATTCAAGGTGGATTAAACTTTGTAAATCAATGCAATAAAATATTGTGAGAAAACCAGTCAACAATTGTGATAGGCCTATGATTGCAAATTAAAACGAATGCTGTTCCTTTTATAATAGTAGATTCCTGAACCATTCCATTATACTATAGCACTATTCCTTTTATAAAAATGGCTTCCTGAACTATTCTTTTATAGCCTGTGGACTGAGAGGAGTATTGGATCCTTCCTGACCATCTCAGGCAGGCCATTCCACAAGGTGGGAGCTACAACAGAGAATTCACTTCAAAAACCAGTGTTTAGGATTCCAGTTCTAAATTATGAAAGCTTACCCACGAATAAATGTCCAACATACTCCTAAACGGGTCTACTCAGAATCCCATTGCAGTCTTCTCAGTGTAGCCTACTTTCAAGAAAGTATTCTCAGAATTGCACCGTTAGTCTTCAAGGCCTTTCTGTATTCATGTTTAATTCTGCAACAATAGACAAACACTGGAAATATTGAGTTTAATTCTGCAACAATAGACAAACACTGGAAATATTGAGTTTGGCGTTATCAACTTTTTAACATGCTCCAGATTCATTTGCAGAGGTGTTGCTATACCATACCCTATCATTAAAAGCTTCAGTAGTTGCTGAAGGCATAGGAGCAGGTAAGGGAGTGTTTTTCCGCACTGGTCAGTTGGCAACCTGAATGGACACCTGAAGAACATTTATTTTAATACGCCCTTTTATGATTCTCTACTCATATCTTCAGAAATGTATTGCAATCAAACTGAGAATCCTTCTTATGGGGCAGGTTACGGGGGGGGGGAGTAAATCATAAGGTTAATTCTGTGGGAACAAAGAATCTGTTCTTGAAAGGCTCGAGATGGAATTTACCCTCTGCCTGAACTCCCCGTGCCCCATACGAAGGATTTGCAGTTCGATTTCCAGCTCATCTCAAGATTACAGAGATCTGTACAATTCCAGATGACCAAGATCCCCTGGAGAAAATGGCTGCTTTGGAGGGTGGATTCTTGTGGCATTGTACCCCCCACTGAGATCTCCGCTTTCTTCAGGCTCCATCCCTAAATCTCCAGGAGCTTCCCAAACTGGATCTGGCAACCACAGCTTACATCAGTATTTTAAAACAAATCCACCGCCCGCAAATCCGCCGTCAGAGTTCTGCATTCAGAAAGTTCCTTAACCCCTTGTTTACTAACAATGGATCACGTGAAATTGTGTAGACACGCTACACAATTCTATTGGTTAGTGTGCCTTTCGTTTCTCCCGCTTTTCGAGCACAACAAACCAATAGAATTGCTGGGAGGGCGGCCCGACCACGTCTATTCGCACGCTCCGCAACCCGTCTGTGCCTCTCATTGGCTCTGAATTCATCAAAGGCGGGACTAAAAAAAATTGTAAAACTGCACGACGACGCTCCACTGCTTAACAGACGCAAAAGAAGCCGAGAGAAGAGGACGGTGAAGGGCCAATTGTTAGGACGGGCCGGTTGACGCATGCGCCGTCGCCATAGCCACTGCGGAGAAGAAGCTTCCAGGCCGGAGTCGAGAGCTGAGGCGCCGCCATGGCGGCGCTGTCCCGGAAGCTGCGGTGGCTGCCGCTGTTGGTGGTGCTGACGGGGAGCGGAGCGATATGGGGCTGGCAGCAGCACGGTAAGGCCGGGGAGGCCCCCAGTCTTGAGGAAGGATCTCATTAAGCTTATTCATTTGGGAGGGAGAGACGAAGTAGTCTGTCGCAGCACGATAAACAGGAGTCTTATTGTGGCGCTTTTAAAAAGACAGTAACATGTTCAGTCCGGCATGACAGCTCCCCTGGACTGCTTTGTTAGAGGCTCGTTGCTAGACAGCTTAGTACGAGCTTGGGGAGAGGGAAACAGCCCTGCCAGAGTGGTGCGGTGGTTAGATTAGAATCTGGGACACCCGAGTTCGAATCTCTGCTCCTGCCACTGAAGCTTGTTGGGTGACCTCGGGCGGGCCCACCTCACAAGATTGTTGGGTGGTGTAGAACGGCATGGGGTTGGCGGCAGCAGCAGCAGGGTGAGTCTGAGAAGAACATCGAACTTGGGGGAGGATTTTAGCTCCATGTTGCCTACTGTTCACAGGCATTATTATCATCAACATCAATTGATTGCCCATCATCATCAATTGATTGCCCTTCCCGAAAGGGCTCAGGGTGGAGAACAACAGGTTAAAAATATACAATAAATTAATTACAAATTACTAATGAAATCAATTTGGTAAGTATGTCTGTGTATACCAAATTCTGATCCTTTCCTGGGTGACCTTGGGCCTGGTGTCTTTCTCTGAGCCTGGCCTATCTTGCAAGGTTGTTGTGAGCATAGCTCTGAAGAAGGGTGAGTTTTGTAGGCTGTTCTGAGCTGTTTGGGGGGAAGGGGAGGGGATGGATAAAAATTGTGGCAGACAACGGGGAGGAAAGTAATTATTTTTTCCAATCTCACGCCTGGACGTTTGCTTAGTGAGGACTAACTATGCGTATGTGATAACAGAGCATAAACTCTGTGGAAGCTGATGCTGGGATCAGAGCTTGCTGGTCTTCAGTGGATCCCAGTACTTCTGTTTGTGGTGGCCATTGAGCGGTATTACTTGGGTATTAGCTACTAGTAGCTAAGACAGGTAAGTGAAGCTTTTGATCTGCCTCTAAATGCCAGGTGCTGGGTGCAAAGAACTTGGCGTGGTGTTTCCTTTGCAGCTCGGCTTCCTGGAGGCATTCTGACAACTAGCTGTTTTTGATGACGGTTAATCTGTCTGTTGCTTCCCGAGTTGCTATTTTTCATAGTCATTTATTTGTTTATTGTTTCCATGGTTGTTGAAATCTACATTTAGTCTGGTAATGGAGAAAGGTGGGCTTTGAAAAGTTCTGAGTAATTACATTTTGGTTGGTCGCTGTGGGAAACGGGAGGCCACAGTGGATTTATTATATTTCTGTTTTGTTTCTCTTCTGTCCTGGACTTCAAAGTAGTGTACACAGGGTTAATTATAGTTGCTGTTAATTATAGTATAATTCTAGTTCTGATAGCTTAATTGGACAATGAAGAAAGCGGATTCATTTGAAATGTGTTGTTGGAGGAGAGTTTTATGGGTACCATGGGCCACCAAAAAGACAAATAAGTGGGTTCTAGATGAACTGAGGCCATTGTACTTTGGTCACATATGAGAAGACAAAAGTCACTGGAAAAGACAATAATGCTAGGAAAAGTGGAAGGCAGCAGGAAAAGAAGAAGACCCAACACGGCCCTCAGTTCGCAAGACCTGAGCAAGGCTGTTGATGATAGGACATTAATGCATCGAGTTTCCATAACTCAGAAGTGACTTGACAGCACTTAAGACACACAGAGTAACTGAATATTGGCAGTAACCGATTAGCAAATACCAACATCGTAAATAAATAATGAAAGGAATCAAATGTCATTTCTGTCCCCTCTTTGTAGAGTTTGCCCAGGAGAAGGTTGTTGGAGACTGAAAGCTGGTCTAAGATGGGCCTCTTCAGTCTGATCTTGTAAGGCCATTTTTTAAATGCCAGAAAGTGTTTCAGTTCAATGAAATTTCTTTTTCCAAAGCAGTAGGCGGGAAGGGGGGCGGCGGCGGCGGAATGGCAGTCTTTATGGCCTGCTTGGGAAGAGGCACCTGTCTGGCTGCTGTTGGGAAAAGAGGCCAGTATTAGCTAAGGTCTGATCTAACAAGGCAGTTCTTTATGTATCATATTGCTAGACTTGACAGTTAGTAGCTCAGACCTTTGAACAAAGTCCCACTGAGTTCACTTCCCAAGTAAGCATGGAGTAGTTTGCATTCTGAACGGCACTTCTGTGTTCAGGTGCAGTGTATGCCTTACCAGTACTGAGTAATGGTTAGTGTCAGACTACCAGGTGAGTTCAGATTTCCACTGTGTCATGAAGCTCACTGGCTGACCTTGAGTCAGTCTCTCTTGGCCTAACCTATTAGGCCAGTGTCCTGACACTGCCTCACAACATTGTTGTTGGGATAGAAGGGAAAATCTTGTGTAGTGCCCTGAGCTCCTTGGAGACACAGCAAAATCAAAAGGTGGTATTTTTCTGTATGTCACAGAAAGAGAACCAGAGGTTGCAATACGTCGCTTGAGAGCTTCCAAAGCTCTGATCTAGCCAAGCAGCAATTATGCTGTCCTTGTTCATTACACCTGCATATATGGTATTCTGCAGAAGAAGCTTAAGAAGTATTCTCTCTTTCCATGCTTTCAGTCACTGAAGAGCCTCATAGCTATATTCTTATGTTGTTAAATAAAGACCTGGGTTTTGCCACAGGGAGACACAAGCTCAAAACAGGACTTGTTCTTCTGGGATCTCTTGTCAGCTTTTAAAGCTGTCTGCTCCAGGTAATAAGTTAACGTCTGCACTTGCAGGTTTGGTATCCTGTTCTTCAAGTCTTTTTATAAATCAGTATGTTCTTTCAGAAAGAATCTTGTTGCGAGATGTTCAAGTCCTGACACTCTACCCTGGCCAGTACACCAATTCCCGGCGGACATCTCCAATCCCCCAGTTGCAGTGCACTGGCGGTACGGCCGGATGTGCAGCGTACACCCCCGATGTTGTCCAGTGTTACAATAAAGGCTGGGATGGCAATGATGTACAGGTATGTTGAGTTAAAACTTGTATGAATGAAATATCTGATAAACAGCCAGTTGATATGAAAAGGTTCCCCAAATCTCTGTTGCTCACTCAGTGGCTTAGGAGCCACCTGTGGCTCTTCTGAGTGCCATTCCCCAATGTGGCACCCTCCCTGTGTTTCTGGAAAGTGAGCAAGGCTCTTGCCTGGTGGGGCTTGTGCTTGGCAGTTGCATCCCACGTTGGAACAGCTGTTGCTGGAGGAAATCTGCAACACTCCCTAGGGGCAGGCTTGGATGGAAGTAAATGTGGCTCTTTTGGTTGATGGCAATTGCGGATGTGGCTGTCCATCACCCACAGAGGGAGTGCCACTATTCTAGCTGGGTGGGAAGCTTATGTTGAAGAGCATGTCAGGGTTCTGTGACGCTCCAGCTCTCTCGGCTAGCCATTGGCTGGCCTGCTGGTCCCTCAGGCAGTTCTCTTAAGGCCTTAGGATGGAAAGAGAAGGGGGTTCCTCCACCTGGTCCCTTCTCTGTCTCAGGACAGCAGCTCTTCTTAAACCCAAAGCTGTGCCCTTCTTCTCCTTGGCCTCCTATAGGCCCTTTTTAAAGAGGCTGTCTGCCTCCGCCCATCATCACCACCACCACCCCTCTAATCCCCGCCTCCCCAGTCACTCCTGGGCTATTCCTGGGGAGTGGGGATTGCTTTCTCCTCCTTTCCCCCTGCAAGGATGTCTGTTTGCCCTCCTCCTCTAGCCACTTCTCCCATTAGCTGTGCCCTGCAGCTGGCTGGGATAGGCCGTAGACCTACTGGGCCCACCCGTCCTCTGGCCTCACACGCCTGTGGCCCTGCCCATTTTTGTGGCTGCTGATGCTGCTGGTGTCTCGTTGGGGCTGCCCTGAGGCTGGGCCCCAACTGGCACCAGCTGCAGGACAGCCTGGTCGGTGAGGTGGCTCAGAGTCCAGCGCCATCTCCAAACAGGCTTGATGGCTACACTTTGCAAGGGTAGCGAGTTGGGAGTTGAGGCTGAAGGGAAAAGAAAGCCAGCTAGGACAGTCAAAAATAATACAAAAACACTGTGAGTGAATTTTATGAATATACTTAAATGCAACTCTTAAGGCTGTCCACAGCTCTTAAGAACTGCATTTAGGTATATTCATAAAATTCAATCACGGGGGGGGAGGGGTGTTGTATTATTTTTTTACTTCTTTCTTGTGATTCTTTCTTTGTATCGCTTTTGCCTTAGCTAGGACAGTCAGGAAGGGAGTTCTGCATCCAGGGGAAATCTCCAGGGCAAACTGGCAATTCCTTAAGTGTCTTTAGACCCTTGTTGTCAAACGTGCCTCATCTAGTGACTTTCCCCAATGCCATTCTGAAATCCTTTTTTGCAAGTTCTCTTAGGTGCATAACGACTGGAACTGTCCTTGTCTGTGGAGCTTTCCTTGTCTGTGGCTTGAAATAGTTTGTGTACCAGATCCTGGACCTGTTGGTGATTGATTCCCTAGCCTCAAGAAAAAAAATGATGGTTGTTTTTTAAAAGCTTTTAAAAGAAAATCTGATAATTTGCATCCATACATATAGATCTGTCTGAATAACTCATTGGTATACTGCCAGTTTTTGAAATAGTGTAGGGGTAAAAAAACCCCCTTAGAACGACATAACAGACGGTAAGTTCAAACAGATTATCTGCAGTTGGACAACTTGGTCTGCTTGAGTCATTTGCAAGGTTATTGGTGTCTTTCTTGCTGTAGGGGTGGGGACATACACACAGCTTGTAAAAAGCACAGAGTCGTTCTTGGTTCGAGGCAAGCGGATTCTTTTCAAGTAGTAGTTGCCATGAGCTGTATTCGGTCAAACGTGAGATGCCTGCCGTCTTCTTCAAAGTAATTTGAAGCCCAGTGGTCCTGTTTCCATTAAAAATGCGATGAATCGATGTAAAGACACACTACTTGAGTTGTGGGGTATAGATAAGGCATCTTTGAAAATAATTAAACACCTCAAAGGTCAATAGAAAACACAAATTTCTTGTCTAACCATAGTTTACAAGGGGAAGACCTATCAGGTTTTCAGTGCTGGTTTCTTGGAAAACCCAAACTTGGTTTGCAGAATTTAAAATGCACTCCTGCATTCTAATTTTGTCTTGCAACGCATGCAGAAGAAAACACTACCTACCTCCATGAAAAATCACCTACCTCTAATGAATGACCACCCTGTTTAAATTACAAACTCCTTTCCCTTCCTCTCCCCACAACAGACACCCTGTGAGGTAGGGGGGGCTGAGAGAGCTCTGACAGAAACTGCTCTTTTTCAAGAACAGCTCTTATCAGAGCTACGGCTTGCCCAAGGTCATCCAGCCAGGTGCAAGTGGAGGAGTGGGGAATCAAACCCGGTTCTCCCAGATTAGAGTCCGCGCACTTAACCACTAAACCAAACCCCCAAATGCTGTTTTGCCTTTTCAGTGGGAGTGCAAAGCACAGATGGACAATTCGTATCGCTTTGGAAGAATCGAAGTAAGCTGTGAAGGCTTTGATTACCCGGATGACCCTTATGTGCTAAAGGGCTCGTGTGGCTTGCAGTACACTTTAGAGCTAAGTAAAGGCGGACAGCCTAAGACCAGCTACTTCGGCGGCAGCTACCATTCTGCTACTGCTCATGATTCAATAACTTCTGGGGCTGGATTGCTCCTGGTAGTGTTATTTGTGGTCCTTGTGTATGGCGTTTATAAGCTGTTCCTCTGTGACAACCGGCCACAACATGGATTCTCTGACGGCGATGGACCATCAAGGACGTACGGGCAAGGTCATCAGAACCCACCTCCACCAGGATTTAAATCAAATTTCACAGGTGCAGTTCTAACCACTCTGTGGCAACAGGGAACTATTGGCAGGACAAGGGTGGTGTTTGCTTGGCAGTCAGATGGTCGGAGAACTGGGTGAGGTCTGGGTTTTCTCATTTGCCACACCTACCCCAGCTCCACAAAACCTGTCGCTACAGCCTGTGCATCTCATGGCAGATCCTTGTGTTTCTAGTTCAGGCTAAGCCAGCAGTGTTGGAAATAATATTTGAAAATCTGAAGATCTGAGCTTGTGATGATCATTCTTATTCTTTTAAATCTTTGAAATTATGGGTAGTTTTAGGAGGTTTAAGGATGACCATGAAATACAAAACTATGTAGATTTTCTTCTGGCAAATCTACAGTTAGCCTAGTGCAAAGGCATGCCGAAAGAGGGGGCTGTGCTGGCTGTACCCTTGCTCTTGACATTCGTGTCTTTAATGTCTTGGTCGTGTGCAAACTTCACCAGGAAGCAAGTGGTTCTCAAGTTGCTTGCTTCTGAGTAAACACATCTGGAGTTTGGCATTCAGAGATTCCAAAGGCATTTTGTTTTCTAGCACTGGAGGGCTCTTTTCTCGCATTTGACTATTAGAGTGGTGCAGTTTTTAAATCCAGGCTGGTCCGTATACTTACATCCCCTCACATCAAGTGATGATGTGCACGTTAGCGACACTTTACAAATCATTCACCCTAGACAGGAGCTTTTTGTCACACAGTGACTCCAGTGGAAACCTTCCAAGCACTTTTAAGCCTTTTAAGCACTGAGTAAACAACTGATAAAGAGTGCTGGCTGAACCAACCCATACTGTAGTTCCCCAGCCGACTCTCTTTCTTGAAGTTTTCCCAGCAGGGCTTAAAAAGGCTGAGACCACTGGAGACGGGAAACCAGGAGGGGGTAAAAACCAGCCCCCCAGGGGTGGGAAGGTGCCAGAAAGCTGAAAATGTGTTGAATATTATGTCAGTTGTTAAAAGGATCGGAAATGCCATTACTTCTCATTTTTTAAAAAAAGAATAATGACAAGGAATATTTCTTTATACTCTAATTTGAATGAAGGAGCTGCCAGTGGTTTCGCTTCCGATTCAAATTCAGGACCAGGTTTCTGGACCGGATTAGGTGCTGGAGGGCTGCTGGGATATCTAGCTGGCAACCGAAGGTAAGCACTACGTTTAGCCATTTTGGGGTGCGGGGGTGCATGTTTTATAATCTGCAGCAGATAAAAGATGAATGACTCTGAACTATATGTAACTGGAACAGATGAAATGTTTGTGTATATAAATGTTAAAAATAAAAAAAAACTTGGAAAAAAAAAGAAGAAAAAAAAACAGTTATAACTTGCAAAGAAGAGAATGTTGATTTCAGAAACTGTGAGGACTGTTTATCCCACCCATTATTGTTTGATGTCTTGAAGCTTTGCAGGCATTGGTTCAGCCTTTAGAAACTTTATTACAGTGCCTGATGAAACCCAAGAGTTCAGTTTTGTGGCAAAAACACATTTCACGCCTGTGATTGGTTACCTAGAAGCCAGGCAGGCTGGCCACCTGAGATCATAGAACCGGGCTTTCCCTGACACATACCACCTTTGTTTAATGATGCTCTTAGCTTTGCAATTGCATAGCCTCGCATCATTTCAGGTGAAGAAATCCCTGCTGTGGTGTTAAAACTGAAGCTTCCAAGGAAAATGGTGTTAGCTATTTCAAAATAGACAGCGCAGTTTATTACAGTTGACTGTATTTGCTGCATAAGGGTTTCCTCATCGCTGGTCACTGAAAGTTCCATTCTAAATTACTGTAATGTGTTTTTACTTCGTCTTCCCTGTTCCTCTTTTAAGCCTTTCATGTTCTGTTACACACCTAAGTTTGTAATAAATTTGCATGCAGACATGATCATGTTCCTCTGCTTTAAATTTTCCTTCATTGGCTCCCTATTCCCATTCAGTTTGAGATTCTGGTTCTTAATTTCAACCATATTCATGCTGCAGCTTCTCATTTTCTGTCTCAGATTTCTCTGCAGTAACTGCCTTTGTATTGTGGGGGCCCAGATTTCTTCCTCTAATTTTCCTCTTTGTACTTTTATTGCCCCTGAATATATTGAACTCACTAGCCAGTGCTGTTCTTTCAGTTGATTCTGTCCGTCCCCCGCCCCCATTTATGCTAGCCTATGTTTGGTGCTTTCCAGCTTTCAAATATATTTTTGGTATCTCGTTCTTCAGCTCCTCAACCTCCAGGACAGGGGCTAACTCTTCATCTGTTTTTACATAGCACTTAATGTTTGAGACATATTTTATTTATACCATCTGTATTTCTGGCTTGTGTGATTTTTTTTTTTTACTGTTGTACTGAATTTGTGTGCAATGCTAGAAGGCTTGTGAGTAGAATAAACAACAGCCTCCCAAGGCAGTTTATCTCCAGGCTCCTCTGGGTGTTTTGCCTCAGCTAATTACTCTGCAAGGGACCAGGTCAATTCCCGGAGCCATTCCCTGGAGAAACAGTTTGAACGGTTTCCTTCTGCCAAGATAATTGTGCTCTGGGCGGGCAACAGCCACCTTCCAAGTTTCTGCTGAATTAAAAGCTTCATTTTTGTTTTGTTTACAATCATGATATTTTAGGAGAACGTTCGGGAAATCAACAAATCTTGACATTGTTGTCTTTAATCATGACGTGTGCATTCATGATCAGTACTTTTGGTCGTTGTGTTTTGTGCCGTTGAAATGTATTGGCTTTTCAGTGGGACCCCAGTTTCAGCTGCTGCCCAGCGCAGTTATTCATGTTTGGATGCATCCTATGGAACAGCAGCAGGAGGCAGGGGGAGGGATGTGAGAAAGTTGCCCTGCATGGGTGTAAATTGGGGTTGCCAGTTTCCAGGTAGGGACGGGAGTTCCCCCAGAATCACAGCTGATCTCCAAATCAGAGGCCAGTCTCCCTGGGGGAAATGGCAGGTTTGGAGGGCAGACTGTGTGACAGCATATCCCTACTGATTCCCTCCTCTCCCCAAACTCCGCCCTCACTGGACACCACCCCAAAGTGTCCAGAAATGTCTCAAGCCCCACTGGAAATCCCTTGGCCTGTGGAAGCGTTCTGGTGGATCCAAGCAGACGTCTTTCTCGCTCTGGCCCTCTGTCTTTTTTCTTTTCTGAGTCCCCCCTGTGACTTGGGTGAAAAGGGACTTCTTAGGAAACAGCCTCCCCCCCACCTTGGTAGGTTGTGTCCCACGTGACTTTCTCAGGAATCCAAAAAATGATGCCCGTGTATACAAACTAACTATGGATTTTTAAACATCAAGTAATACATCGAAGTGGACCTGAGACACACATGTGATAACTTCAGAACAGAAATGTAGCCTTAATAATTTCAAGGACTTGGGAGGTACTTCCCAGGTTTCAGTTTAAAATACAATAGTTACAGCTTTGGACTCTTAATACAGTGGTACTCGCTCCGTGGCTCATTTGTTGGTTGAAAGTGCTGGCCGCCCCATAGGGGTTTATAAGGCAAGAGACGTTCAGAGGTGGTTTGCCATTGCCAGCCTCTGCCCAGTGACCCTGGCCTTCCTTGGTGGTCTCCCATCCAAATACTGATCAGGGCTCTGACCCCGCCTAGCTTCTAAGAAAGACCGGGCCATCCAGGTCCGGTCGCCTAGAGAACGACATTCCCATTTATCATCGGCCAAAAGAAACGCATAAATTATAATAATATTAAGTATAAAAGTATAATCTAGGAGCTGCAGTGGCTCAAGTGGTTAAGACGCTGAACTGCAGGCTGTGGAAGGTCGGTAGTTCAGCAGTTCGAGACCCGGGTGCCACATGACGGAGTGAGCTCCCATCTCTAGTTCCAGCTCCTGCCAACCTAGCAGTTCGAAAGCAAGAAATTGCAAGTAGATAAATAGGTACCACTTCAGTGGGAAGGTAACAGCGTCCAGTGCGCCTTGGTGTTTAGTCATGCCGGCCACATGACCACGGAAACGTCTTCGGACAGCGCTGGCTCTTCGGCTTTGAAACGGAGATGAGTACAGTCGGATTCGACTGGCTTTCGAGCAAGGGAACCTTTACCTTTACCTTTATAATCTTTTAGAGGACCAGATTAAGATGACTTCTGAACAGGCCAGGTTGAACTTTAGCCAGTCCTTGTGTATTTGGAGGGAGGAGGTGGACTTTCCTCCCCTGCCTTCTTGCTCTCTTCTCAGCTTGAAGCATTGCAGCTCAGGTAAGGGAGTTGAATTGCTCAGGTGAGAACAAGTTGGCTATGGAGAAAGGGGAGTAAAACCACCACTACCTCTACCCCCTGCTGCCCACTCGCTCTTTTTCGATGCTGTGGTAGTGTTCTTCTGTCTCTGTGGCCAACTTCCTCTCTCGCCAACTGCTGCCCAGGTGCTAGGATGAGAGCGTGGAGGTTGCAGGTAAGGGGGAGGGGTGTTGTAGACGGTGGGCTCTTTGCTTCTTTCCATAGCACTGGCCCACCTCACCGCTTACCTGTCTTCCAGACCCTCTGGCAGCACCTAGCCACCTTCCAGCCATGAGCCTTGCCCACTCTCCTGGAAGATGGGGTGGGTTCCACATCAGGGGAGCGGTTCCTAGAAGAGCTACCCGTGGCTCCTGAGTCACTGAGCATCAGTGCTGTAATACATTTCTAACTTCAGTGGCTTAAACCAATCACAACAGACTCTGAGAAGCCATTGTGAGAACTAAGGGTCTTAGTAAGCATAAATCAGAAGCCAATTGGGGTTTTTCCAAGAGGTCATCTTGGATGAAGACCAAAGGACATCATCCTGTGATGACTAAAGAGTTCATTCCCTGTGTACAAACCAAGTCCTCTTAAAGGCACAAAATGGTTCCATTGATTTTGATCTCTGCCCGGCATTATGTGAGGATGTGACAAATCCTGAACACCAGCTGTGAAGTTCGGTATCCTCCCTGTAGGGAGGCATGTCCATGAGTCAGGAGGACACAGCTGACTTTTCTGCTGTATGCATTTTAAGTGAAGGCCGCCTTAACTGCATACTGAGCTTATGCTGGAACTGTGTAAGCATCGCAAGGTTGCCCGATTGCGTGTTGATACGTTACTTGGCTTCCATTCTATAGTTCTCTTCCATTTTGTATGATTGCATTGTGAAATCATCTATACTTTATTTGTCCAGACAGCTCTGGCCAATGAAAAGTAACTGGGTTGGATTCTGTACATGAAAGCGTGACTTCCCCCATCCCCCTAGAACAATGGGGGGGGATTTTGGGCTACAGTGGGGGAGGGATGAGGGACTTCCCCACAAAACAACATGGTGGGGAGTTGGAGGGCTGCCGTAGGGGGAGGAATCAGCAAAAATCACTCCCTTTTTTGTGTGTACACATGTTTTTATGGGATCCACCCACTGAAACTGCTTGATTTTTATGGGATTAATAATTGCCTAATATGACTATTCATTGACACGAACGTTATGACAACCAGGATCTTGTTTTTTAATTTATACATTGAATGCTAATGTGCTAGTTGATGCTGTTTTGGAGCCTTGTGATTAGTGTTAAGCTGTCTCTGTCCAGCCAGCTATCGGGGAGCTCTTAAATATTGTACACACCGTTTTGTCTAAGATTTAACGGGCTAGATATTGCAGCTCTACTGTATGTAATTTTAAATTTGAATTTAACGTCCCACTGTCCTCTATACTCCTCCTTCATTCATAGGTTCAAAATTGCTTGACTCTTGAAATGTAATGTTAGTAGCTGTTGGAAAAGCTATTACTGGCAGTGATCACTAAAATTATTTAAACTACCTCCTCTGCCCAGGTCGCATTCATATTCTCCATACTACAATACGTGGACTACGCCGACTGCTCCACCTCCTTCATTTGGCCCTTCGTATGGCTTCGCAGCCCCAAGTTCAGGGACAAGGTCCACCTCAGGTAAGCCTTAAGCTGTATTACCTTTATTTTCCTGCCCCCTCTTATTTTTTTAATTTAGAATTTTTATTATTTTGAACAATATTTTAAGCATAGTAACTATAACATATTACATAAAATTATGCTACTTGGAATACCAATTCCATAGAGGTGGCCCATACTTACTCATAAACATGAGTAATCCAAAAACAATTAACTATAAACATATTGAACAATGTGAACATGAAATTCATTTCAATTTGCAAATATAGGTATATTATAAATCAAACTGCCCCCTCTTAAGGAATATAGCACCAGCCCCTTAGTCTCATTCCAAAATTGATTTCAGTGGGACTTCAGTTACTTACAGTCAACATACCATGGATTTCAACAGATGTGATTAACGATCTCTGGAATGTGGCCTTATGTGTGGAAAACCCATAATGTACATCATTTAATGAACATGTAGTTACCAGGCTATCAAGAAATCTTAGTTGATTCGTTAGTGTTGAGTCTGTATACCTGGGGTCACCAACATGGTGCCCATCAACACTTTTCCTGGTGCCCGCCTAGTGTTTTTAGAAAGTGGATGGGACCGTGTGGAGCTCCTCCCCAACAGGGCTTCTCATTGATCGGCTGTGCAAGATTAAAATAGGGTTGCCACCCCCCCCAGTGGGGACGGGTTTCCCCCCGATTTCAGGGACCCCAATCTGCTGCTGGCCAGCTCACCTGTGGAGGAGCCCCGCCTCGGAGAGCCCCGCTGTGCCCAGTGCAATGACATCACCTGGAAGTGATGTCATTGTGCTGGGCACGTTGCGTGGAGGAAGCTCTAGCTTTTGGCTAAAAACTCTGTAGTGACCATAGAGTTTTTGGCCTATGCCAGAGCATTCCCTGCTTGATGTGCCCGACGCGATGACATCACTTCCGGGTGACATCATCAAGGTGCGCGTCTTCAGGAAGATCCTGAGGAGGAGCATGGAGCCCCCCACCGGCAGATGATAAGCATCTGGTAACCCTCGATTTAAATAATGCTGTTTCAGTGGCAGTTGCCACCATAATGTTTGTTTTATTCTCTCTCACTTGTCTCTCCCAGTGTTTCTTCTTTAAATTAGCCCTCTTCTCCCCTGCACTTCCTCTGTGTGTCTGTGGTTGTCTCTGCCTCCTGCGGTAGCCATTTTGTAGTGGCAGGTGTGTCAGAATTCCAAAGCTGGCCACAGTTTCAAAATGGCTGGGGATTCCTATATGCCGTTGGCATATGACATGAACACACCCGAAGGGGCAAAAAACCCTGTTGGTTTTTAAATTGTGCCTGTCTTGATATGTGTGTGGATTACCTTAGAACAGGGTTGCGAACTCCAGGTTGGGAAACTCCTGGAGATTTGGAGATGGAGTCTGAGAAAGGAAAGGACCTTAGCAGGCTACTACTCCATAATGCCCACTCTCTAAAGCAGCCATTTTCATTGGGGGAACTGATCTGTATAATCTTGAGATCAATTGTAATTATGGGTATCTTCAGGCTCCACCTGGAGGTTGGCAACCTTACTAAGAAGCACTTGCTCCTGTGTACACTTGCTGTGGTTAACTGAGGCACGTTTGAAAAGGGATTATGAGGTTTTTAATCAAGCAATCTAACCCACTAATTGACTTATTGTTGCGGCTCTGATAGCTGCCTCAGTCGGTATCCTTGAGACTTCCTTAGAATGTCCAGTTCCTTCTTGCTGGCTGCCAGCCCCTGCCTCTTTTATTAGGAAGTAAGCTTCTTTCCAATGAAACGTATTCCATCAGTTGACATGTTTTTTGTTGCCGGTTGACCTTCTCTTGTGCTGCTAACCTGCCTGCCATGTAACAAAGTTCCATATTGTTCTACTCTGCTCCATGTCACCGTGGTTTGGAGTTCTGCTTCCCCTGCCTGTGTCCCGCAGTACAGTTTTTCAATGCAGAGGTGTAATCAGTCGTCGGCTCATTGTGGACGCTGTGGAGCAGACAGATTGGCAGGGCTACATTTTGAGCTATTTGTTTCCCTAATTTGCAGCCCACCTGTCTCCTCAATGGGGACCCAAAGCAGTTACATCATTCCCACTGCCTTCATTTTATCCTCCCAACCAATGTTCCCCCTAATTTTTTCCTCCCCACTGAGCGGAGCAGTTGCCATCCTGAGCAGCATATAACTGCTGTAACCTTAAAATGGGCACTGGGCGGTGCGAGACCCTGCATGGCTCCAGACTGCTGCTGAGCAGGGCTTCCTGTGTTAATGAGCGGCCGCTCACCTGCACAGCTTAGAGGGAACTTTGCTCCCAACAGCACTGTGATTCAGGGTTAGGTTGAGAGAGTGTGACTGGCCCAAGGTTACCCAGCAAGTTTCCATGAGCAAGGATTTCCCAGATTCTAGTCTGGAACTCCTTAACTATTGCATCACACTGACTTTCATGAAAAGTCAGAGGAGCCTTATAGGGCCAGTTTCCTTCAGTGGAGGCCCGTGTTGTCTTCCAGTAACCTCTTTATTTGCACAGGTGCATAAGAAAGCGTTATGGGGAATGCGTAGGATACATAGCACAGATTTTTAAAAAATGCTTATTAATATCAGATTAATAATACATGAAATCTAACACAAACATTTCATCCAAATGTTAAAACTGAACTCACAACCCTCTGTCAGACGCAGTGAGTTGAAAAGCGTTTCCCAGATTTCTTTTTCAAATATGACTTCTGAGGCCAAGCACACTGATGTGCTAGGAGATACTGCATTTATTATTGCGGCTTTTTATGACTACCAACAACATGGATTATTATTTTCCAGTACCTGATCTGCTGTTCATCAAATACATTGAGAACATTCTTTAAATCCAAGCCTTTCTCCAAGGAGTTCATGATAATGTACATAGCTCCCTGCCTTCCATTTTACTCTCTCTACCACCCTTTGAGGTCCAACCTCCTCTAGTGACTTTAAAGATAAGAGTGGAGACTCCTGACGGAAAAATAAATTCTTCTTTTTGGAATCCTATTTCAGAATATTTAAGAGTACATAGAGAAATTCCAGAAATTGCAAAGATAATGCATTTGATATGATGTTTCTGTTGTTTGTAATAGTACAAGACGATCTTTGTTAACCCTCTTGACCTCTGGTTAATTATTTTACCTGAGAACTATCATAATTCTAGTTGTTGTTGTATTCTATTCATTTTTTTAAAAAAAGTGTGGACACTGGACTTTTATCTAAAATGTGAGCCCAAGATGTAGTACAGATTTAAGCATGCTTAAGCGTACTGATATTAATGGACTTAAACACATTTAACCTCTGTGCTGGATTATGGCCCTTGTCTTCAAGATCTTGCTTAATATCTCTGCATGTTTTCCCAGCAAGTCAAACCAAATCCCACTAACTCTGTAACTGCCACTCTGACCTTTCTCTTTTTCCCTCCTCTGTAGGTTACGGAGGCACAAAAAGGAGATGAATTTGTCTCCTCCTCTGCCTGAGCAGTTGAATAAAAGCATCGCTCCAGCCATTTCGAAGCTTGCTTGTTGGGTCACTTGTAAGGGTCCATTTCTGGATTGGGTCGTACATATTCCTGTTGTCAGCCTTTTGTATAACATACTGTCAGATTTGAAGCTTAAAACCCATGGTGTGTTGGATAACTGTTTGGAAAGGCAAGTAGAATAACTAATAGAATTTAGAATAAGTAAGAAATTCTTCTCAAAATAAGACTGCATTCCTATCCTTACTGCTTAAGTAAATATTTTAGAGAGCAGTGGGACTTGAATCTGAGTAAACTGTGGTTGGGTTCAAGTTGCAGCTGTCCTTGGCCTGGCGTTCCACATATTTCTTCAGCAAAGGCATGCGGAGTTACAGTCCTTGGCCTACAAACCAAGGGTTGTGTGGTGGGGCTTCAGGATACTGGCTGGATCTGACCCAGGAAGAGGACACTGAAGCTGGTGGAGTGGGACCCCCACCTCCTGCTTTCTTGCTGTGGCCCACTGATCTCCCTTGGATTGTGCCCCGGGCGATCAAGATACCCCCCCCCCCCCCGGGGACAGCATGCGGATTGGAAGGGGTCCCCCCTCCTCCATCAATGGAAGCAAGGGACTGTTGGCAAAACAGCACTTTTCAGTCCTGCCCTCCGACCCACAGGTTCCTTTCAGTCAGTTCTGATGCTAGGGGCAACATCTTTGGTGTCTTCCAGCGGAGGACATGTTGGGGAGAATGGGCTTGAGAAGTGTGCATGCAAATGCCGAAAGAGCCTTTCTGGATCAAGATTTGTGCTCATGTAATAATCACAGAAGGAAAAGTTAGTCATCTTCAAAGGAAGAAAGAGCAAGATTGGTGTCCCGTCACACCTTAAAGACCAACAAGAGTTCCGGGCTACAAGCTTTCTTGAGTCAAACCTCCCTTCATCAGATACTGTCGAAAGCTTGTAGCCTGGAAATCTCAATCTCGTGGTCCTTAAGGTGCGACAGGACTCGAATCTTGCTCTTCTACTGCAGACCGATACGGCTACCCACCTGAAACTATTTTCAAAGAAAGATATTTATCAGTTGTGGTTCTAGAGAAACACACCAGCATTTGTATTTGAATAAACCTCTAGATGTAGAATCCAGCCCCATAATATTGAGTAATTCTGTCCAGGTAGCAAAAGTGCCTTCTGCCTGCACAAGGGGCCCTTCGCCGGTGCACCTAGAGCATGTTGCTTCAGGCAAGGCTCTTTCCGCCCAAGAAAAGCGTTTCCCCTTGCAGAATGGATTGGTGCAATCCAGCTCATGGGCCGTAGCTGCTGCTGTAGCACACCTTTCATTTGGTCTTGAAGGTATTGGGGGAGACTCGAGTCATCTTCTAGGCTGATCTCTGATGTAGCTCGTGACACAGGCAGCGAACGATACTTTACAATTCGTGGCATCATCCAGCCAGTTCAGAGGGGCTTGAGTGAGCACTGTGATGTGGGCGTCCATTCAGATTTCCACATTAGCTGCTCGGGCAGGAGAATTCTTACCTGCACGGATCTTTCCTTCTTGATTTGGTACAGCAGTACGTGGCTTACATAATGTGTGTCAAACTACTTTTTCTGTGTGTTTTCCCCCCTGCCTTTGGCCCTGTTGCATATCGGACGATTTTAGTTACCAGCTCCTTTGAGTGTAACCATCCAATTTTAACCTTACTGAACGTTAACAAATGTAGATGCAGTCTTGCTTTCCTTCTCCCCCCCCCCCCAATCTGGAAATAAACAAAAGGTTTGCATTAAAAAGTTCTAAAATAAACTGGCGTCGTGCCTTCTCAAATCTGTGTGGCAGCTGAATTTTAAGCAAATGAGATTTGTGACTTAACAAGTTGGCTAGGACTAACGGGTGGCATCCTAAGAAGGGCCTTCTCGATTGTGGCACCAAAGGCTATGGACTTCTCTTTCCCGGGAGATGAGGGATTACTCTGTCTCTTTCTATCACTTCTGTCACTACCCCACTGGTCAAGACTTTTCGTGTGCGTGCGCGTGCCTGGAAGTCATGGTTGACTTCTGGCAACCCTTAGTGGGGCTTGGACATTTCAGAGAGGTGGCTTCCAGAGAGGAGGCCTGCCTCTGCGTCCCAGCCCTGGTATTCCTTGGAGGTCTCCCATCCAAGTACTTGCCAGGGTCAGCCCTGCTTAGCTTCTGAGATCTGAAGAGATCGGGCTTGCCTGAAGACTTTTCTGTTTTCTTTGACATTTTCTCACTGACCCTCCTTCCCATTTGTGCGTCTACATAATACATTTGGTTTTATTGTTTTATAAATGCATGTATTTTAAAACTTGTGAATGGTTAGACAGTGTCATCGATGCAACGAACATGAAATTGAGCCAACTTCAGAGGACGGCAGATGACAGGAGGGCCTGGCGTGATCAGGTCCGTGGGGTCGCGAAGAGTCGGACTCGACTGTGCGACTGAACAACATGATGTATCTCGTCTCCTCAGAGGTCCTGAAATCGGGAGACTTCATTAAATCTTGCTGGCATTCCATATCACAGATCCTTTGCTTAAATAAAGATTTAGCCTGATCAAAGGATTGTAACAAAAGAGTGCCAGGTTGAAGACCTGTTTTTTCAAGGCCGTCCTCAACCATGTGTAAGTTTAGTAAGTTGGTAAGAATCTTGCAATACAAGGGGGAGAAGGCCTTTTGGGATCATTATATACTGAATGCAGATTTCCAGAGAACAGCAAGGAGAGATAAGGAGGCCTTCCTGAATGAACAATGCAAAGTAATAGAGGAAAACAATAGAATGGGAAGGACTAGAGATCTCTTCAAGAAAATCGGAGAAATCAAGGGAGCGTTCCATGCAAAGCTGTCCATGATAAAGGACAAAAACGGTAGGGACCTAACAGAAGCAGAAGAGATTAGGAAAAGATGGCAAGAATACACAGAAGAACTATACAAGAAAGACCTCGATGTCCTTGACAACCACGACGGTATAATCACTGACCTCGAGCCAGACATCCTGGAATGTGAAGTTAAATGGGCCTTAGAAAACATTACTAACAACAAAGCTAGTGGAGGTGATGGTATCCCAGCTGAGCTATTCAAAGTCTTAAAAGATGATGCTGTTAAAGTGCTGCACTCAATTTGCCAGCAAATTTGGAAAACGCAACAGTGGCCACAGGATTGGAAAAGGTCAGTATACATTCCAATCCCAAAGAAGGGCAATGCCAAGGAATGTTCAAACTATCGCACAATTGCACTCATATCACACGCTAGCAAGGTCATGCTCAAGATCCTACAAGCTAGGCTTCAACAGTACATGGATAGAGAACTGCCAGAAGTACAAGCTGGGTTTCGAAGAGGTAGAGGAACGAGAGATCATATTGCCAACATTCGCTGGATTATGGAGAAAGCAAGAGAGTACCAGAAAAATATCTACTTCTGCTTCATTGACTATGCTAAAGCCTTTGACTGTGTGGATCACAACAAACTATGGCAGGTCCTTAAAGAGATGGGAGTACCAGACCACCTCACATGTCTCTTGAGAAACCTGTATAAGGGCCAAGAAGCGACAGTTAGAACCGGATACGGAACAACTGATTGGTTCAGCATAGGAAAAGGAGTACGACAAGGATGTATACTGTCACCTTGCTTATTTAATATATATGCAGAGTACATCATGCGAAATGCTGGCCTGGATGAATCACAAGCGGGAATTAAGATTGCTGGGGAAAAGATCAACAACCTCAGATATGCAGATGATACCACTCTAATGGCTGAAAGTGAAGAGGATCTAAAGAACCTCTTGCTCAGAGTAAAAGAGGAGAGCGCAAAAGTGGGCTTGAAGCTCAACATCAAAAAAACTAAGATCATGGCATCCGGCCCCATCACTCCTTGGCAAATAGAAGGGGAAGTCGTGGAAGTAGTGACAGACTTCACGTTCCTGGGATCCCAGATCACCGCAGATTGTGACAGCAGCCATGAAATTAAAAGACGCCTGCTCCTTGGGAGGAAAGCGATGGCGAACCTAAACAGCATGTTAAAAAGTAGAGACATCACCCTGCCAACAAAAGTCCGCATGGTCAAAGCAATGGTATTCCCAGTAGTCATGTATGGCTGCGAGAGTTGGACTATAAGGAAGGCCGAGCGCCGAAGAATAGATTCTTTTGAACTATAGTGCTGGAGAAGACTCTTGAGAGTCCCTTGGACTGCAAGGAGATCAAATCAGTCAATCCTAAAAGAAATCAACTCTGACTGTTCCCTGGAAGGCCAGATGCTGAAGCTGAAGCTCAAATACTTTGGCCACCAAATGAGAAGGGAGCACTCACTGGAGAAGACCCTGATGCTGGGAAAGATTGAAGGTCAAAGAAGACGGGGACGGCAAAGGATGAGATGGTTAGACAGTGTCATCGATGCAACGAACATGAAGTTGAGCAAACTTCAGAGGACAGCGGAAGACCGGAAGGCCTGGTGTGATATGGTCCATGGGGTTGCAAAGAGTCAGACTCGACTGTGTGACTGAACAACAACAAAAATATTTTAAGCCATTGAAAGGCAGATGCAAGGCCCTTAGAGTTAAAACCCTTGCATCAGTAAGATCACTTTCTTTGAAGTTGAAGGTTTTATGCTACGCTTCTCTGATCCCTTCAGATTTTTTTAGTAGCATTTCACATAAAATGTTGGCATTTGGAAGCGAGTGGATATTGGAGGCCCTTCCTTCCTTCCTTCCTAGCTAGTTTGGTGTAGTGGTTAGGAGTGTGGACTCTAATCTGAGAGAACTGGGTTTGATTCCCCAGTCCTCCGCATGCAGCTGCTGGTGTGACCTTGGCTCAGTTACAAGTTCTTTCAGGACTGTTCTCTCCGGATCAGTTCTTGAAAGAGCTCTCTCAGCCCCACCATATCTCACAGGGTGTTTGTTGTGGGGAGGGGAAGGGACAGGAGATTGTAAGCCGCTCTGAGATTCCTTCAGGTAGTGAAAGGCAGGGTATAAATTCAATCCCTCCCTCCCTCCCTGGTGTGATAGGACTCTGTTCCCATCAGCTGTGAAGTCAGTGGTATATAGGAATAATCTTGCAAAGACTTTCAAGGTTCTTCCTCCTCCTGTGACTTTTAATACCTCATTTCCTGGCACTGAGTGAGATCATCTTTAGTTCTGTAGTTGGGTGTCATCAGTATGTAGATGAGATCCAGCTCTGCATTTCTGTGCCCAAGCCTCTGGAAACTACTGACTGTGCCTGAAACTGTGATTAAGAGGAACAAACTGAAACAGAGTCTAGACTGATAATGGAGATTATATTGAATGGGTTTGGTTGACTAACCCTGGATAGGGTGAGTCTGATAAATCATGCAATGGTTTTGCAGGTGCTTTTGGACCCAGTCTTTCTAATTGGGGTGCAAGCTGTTGCTAAGAGTTGCATTGTTCACACAAATTATCTTCCTGTCTGAACTCTCCAAACCTAGCCACAATGACCCATGCAGTTGTAGTTTCTAGGCTGGACTACTGTAGCATGCTCTAGGTGGGGCTTCCATTCAAATGAATGATGAAGCTACAGAGCTGTTGGGTTCAGCTGCTTCAGACCAACACGGCTGCCCACCTGAATCTATTGTCTCCCGTGGCATCTGAACGCAGCCTCTGTTTCAACACAGTAACCCCAATCCCTGGGAACCAGATTTAAGCAGCAAGCGTTGCAAGAAAACTCAGAGTTCAGATTAATGGGCAGGAAAGAAACTTGCGCCATAGTATGGGAGCCTTCAGACGAAGGGTCTGAGACACTTCTGAAAGAGCCCGGCTGCCCCAAGTGATCGTGTCCCTGCTCGCCCCAGGAATCATAGAATGTTAGAGTTGGAAGGGACCTTGCAGGTCATCTAATCCAACCCCCTGTCCTCTGCAGGAGCTATGCTTTAAAAATAGCCCTGCAACATAGCTTTAAACAAATTTATTCTGTCCCTCAGTTCAACCACTGTGCATAATGATGTGCTTAGGGTTGCCAAGTCCAAATTAACTTACCTTGGGGAGTGACGTCATTGCGTCGGCACATTGGGGGTGCGGCCACTAGGATTCGAGGGAAAACCATAGAGTTTTCCCTCGAATCATAGAGCGTCCCGCCCCCAACGTGGCCAGCGTGATGATGTCACCTCTGGGGATGTGTGCTGGAAGGGGGTGGAGTTCCCCCCGGGGCCCGATTTGCTGGTGTCGGGTAACGGGCCTCTCGGGCGGGGGTTTACCCGCCCCCCTGGGGGGACTTGGCAAGCCTAGTTGTGCTCTACACCAGGAACACTTCAGTTGTCCCATGGGTTACTTCCTTCACAAGGCGAAAGGTAATTTCTGAGAAAGAAGCTAAGTCGGGGTGCTCATGCCTGGTGTGGAGCGTGGGCAAGGGTCACCTTAAACAATTTCCTGCTCTTCTTCAGCGGTACCTTTTCTCCTGACCCTGGATCCTGTTTACCTGCCTGCTAAATAGTGGGCTCCGTGGATGAACAGACCACAAGTCTAGTGATCGGTTCTACTTTTATTAGTGATTTCAGCAAGCACAAGACTCCAGAGCCTCAGCTCTGTTAGATAGCATGCAATTGCCACACCCAAACACACCCCACTCCCAGTGATAGGCTATTTACATAACATCACTTCTAGACTGGTTACTTTCAGAATCCTGGCAGGCTATTGTTCTTGTGCTCTGAGCTCAGCCAGTCTCTGGGGTGATTCATTCAGGGATGATTCAGTCCCAATACATAACACTGCCCATCCTGCCTGCTGCTCCT